GGACATGGCAAGCCCCGCATCCCAACGTATTGTTAAAACTTCGTCATCGTCCAGCGGTGTTGATGCGACCAATCTGTTCAACCACCCAGTACTCGCATTCGACACCGGCGATAACCAACTATTGGGCCTTCCCCATGATGACTGGCTCACGCTCATGTCCCTGCTCGGTGCGCAAGGCTCCGACAGTAACGGCAATTTCCTCATTCCCTGTGGATCGACAATGACATACAACTTCTTCGGCACAAAGAACCGCGAGTACACATTCAGTATTGCTGACACTACCACCAACAATGGCCAGGGCTTCTGCAAGCCAACAGTCATCGATTCGGGCTCCACGACCAATTGGATCACCGGTATGCCGTTCCTCCATCAGTACTACGTTGCATTCCACTACACCGCGAACATGATGGGCTTTGGAACGCGCAATTTGGGTGCAAGCGCAGCGCAGAGCAAGCCGTTCGTCGGTTGAGAAGTAAAGTCCGTCGTGGGTGGCCGTGGATCGCTAGGCATGTGCATTAAGCCCGAAAGGAGATCTTCTGTTGCTTTTGATCATGTACCTCAATACCTTGCCAAATAGATCTTGGGTGTTATGAGGTAGCGTTTGCCAGAAGCGCAGTATCACTGCGTAGTTGCCGTGAGGGACGCGCGGCGCCCGGTGAGACCCCTGTGGAGGTCAACCGTTCTCAACAGCCATACTGACGGCGCCCGAATCTACCATGTTCTACAAATAGCCGCAGTAATGCAATGACAACCTAACTCCTCCTTTCCTACTGACCACGACTTTGGACCACAATGGATGCGCTGGGAGTAGTTGTCGCAAAGCTCAAGACGCTCACCCCACTTGAGATGGGAAGTCTCCTGGTTGCCGCATGCCTTGTACACCAGACCTACATCGCCCTCACTCGCACGCGCACAACACGTCTTCGTGGTCCAAAGTCTGAAAGCTGGCTGTGGGGCTTCCAAGGTATCCTGTTTCGCCCTGATGGACCCGCCCTGTACGAACAGTGGATGACGGAGTATGGCTCGGTATTCCAGTACAACGTCGCCCTTGGCAAGAAGAGGGTCGTCCTTGCGGATCCCAAAGCTGTTGCGCACTTCTATGCACACGAAACATTCACATATCAGCAGAATCCTTTCGCGAGACATTTCCTTGCAAATCTGGTGCGCTGCCGTTTTTTCCACCATGCCCAGTGATTCACAGAGCTAACACCCCTTGCAGTTCGGGAAGGGTATCCTATGGGCTGAAGCCGACAACCACAAGCGCCAACGCAAGATCTTGACCCCTGCGTTCAGCAATCATGCTATCAAGGAGCTCACGTCTGTATTCTATGACTCCGTATACAAGGCAAAGGCTGCATGGGATGCGCTGTTGGATGCGTCCAAAACAAGCGATGTCGTGATCGACGTGCAGGACTGGATGAACCGCATCTCGCTCGATTCGATCGGCATCGCCGGCTTCTCACATGACTTCCGCACACTGCAAGGACAAAAAGCCGAGGTTGCAGAAGCGTTCCAGTCATTTGGCGCTACGAAACCGTCTAAGGCGTTCATGATAATCATCATGTTTGCTCAGTTCTTCCCAATTCTGCTGAACATTCCTTCGAGCCGGAATGCCCGTATCAAGAAACTTGATGAGAGTATGACGAAGATCGCGGACGAACTACTCGATGAGGGGAGGAAGGCTGAGGACGAGGAAGGCGGAAAGACGAAGGCACGGAGTTTGATTGGAACGCTCGTAAAGGCAGAGAAGACGGAAAGGAACGACTCGGACGCGGGGCTATATCTCCAGCCCGATGAGGTCCTTGCTCAGATGAAGACGCTTGTCCTAGCCGGATACGAGACAACATCCATCTCTCTCACCTGGGCGCTTATCGAGCTCTCGAACCACCCAGACAAGCAGGATAAGCTGCGCGAAGAGCTTGTGCGACTTGGAACAGACGCCACCTACGACGAGCTTCATAATAGCACCTTGCCTTATCTAGACGGTGTTGTCCGGGAGGTGCTGCGGCTCCATCCAGCCTTGTCAGAAACATCTCGCGAAGCAGCCGAGGATGACATTGTTCCACTCTCCCGGCCCATCACGACCGCGAACGGACAGCAAGTGGATAAAATCACTATCGCCGCGAACACTCCGATTCTAATTCCGATCTCGGCGATCAACCGGTCCAAGGAACTTTGGGGACCGGATGCGTCAGACTTTGTGCCTGAGCGCTGGATCGGCGAAGAAGGGTTGAAGGGCAGGCGGGCAATGGAAATTCAAGGCTGGGGACATCTTCTCACATTCGTGGATGGTCCCAGGACTTGTCTGGGCCGTGGTTTCGCTGTCGCGGAGTTCAAGGTACGTTCCCATGCCCTCTTTCAGTCTCAATGAACTCATGTCTTGGAAGGCCGTTCTCTCCACTCTAATTCGGAATTTCATCTTCGCTCCGAGAGATGTGGAGGGCATTAAGCTCGGCCGAGCTCGCACGTTGCTTCCTCGCCCCAAGCTGGAGGGAGAGGAAGGCATTCGTCTGCCACTTCGGGTGAGGAGGGTAGAATGAATATGTAGTGCTGACGTCTTGATTGGTGTAAATTAGTTGTAGTTGGATATACCTTCTGCATATCTCATCCGATGTGCTTGTTGCTTCTATAAATATGTCTTGCCGGAGGTGTACCTTCTTTTGGTGTTTTGCCTCCGGCTGCATTGTAAGCAGACAATGACCTCGACCTGGCCAATGCACACCTTAGTCGGCCTCTCCTTCTTCGCATGTTTTCGTTTGGAGCGGCTGGGACAAGTTTGCTCTCCCGCATACGCAGGAACGAATTTCAGACGCTAGGATATGCGGAACTGAAAGATGTTTTCGAGGCCACCCTGCGCATGGAGGGCAGTGTCGAAGCGGCGGTCACGCGACTAATGTCGTTATACAATTTTGAACTTATGGTCATGAAGACTATCATTGCTGGTACTGCTTATAGCATGTGACTCAAATCTCCGAGCCCGGCTCATACTCCCTTGCAGAAAGGGGACTTTTCCTTGACTTTTCCCGGGCATCCTATGCCTCTATTGCTCGAAAAGTTGGCTTGGACGCTTCGTTTTCCCTGCAAGACGTTCCAACATTTCCTTTACATCGCGCCCGGATACCCACCTCACTGTTTAAGGAAATTGTTGGTGATATCGAACTGGCTGTAAAACAATACGGGTTACCCCACGAGCAAGATAACGAGGCGACACGATCAAGATTTATTTCTTCTGTGAGTCTTGACCTCGTGTCATCTGCGTGCTTATTCGAGTTATTAGCTATTCGCCCGCCTCTCGTCCCACTTTGAGCTCCTCCTGCATGCATCGCTCGACAACTCTGTACAGACGCGTTATGCCGATGATCGGGTCCAATACACCTGGCGCATGCTCGGACAAGTTGCAATCATTCTCATCCATAACAAGGACGAGGCCATTTCGGGACACGAACATCTGAATGCAATCGCCCACGTGATTGCAGAGTGTATCTGTCAGTTCAGTTCTCCCCCTCGCATGTGGTGTGCTGAACCCAACGCAAGCATGCGATTTCTTGAACTACGAGCTTGGCTACGAACCCGCACGCATCTACGCGATCTATTCCGATGGAACGTCCTTTGACTTTTTTCGGTTCGACGGATCCTCCAATCCCCGATTCGCACGGGGAATTCAAACGGTTCCCAACGCGTTCCCCAAAGCGCGGCTCACGCTCACCCTGCCCGAGACGGCCTCCCAGCTCGGAAGTTTCATCACGAGTTTACGACCAGTCTGCGAGGCCATTTTCTACTTTTTCATGCTTGGATACGAGGCGTGCTTGGATACGTACTGCAGCGAGGCGATCAACACTACCCCCGAGAGCATCATCCATCGGATGAGGAGGACCATGCCCTGGGGCGAGAGTACAGAAAGGATCAAGAGCGCCCTGTATCTCGCGCTGGCAGCGGGAGAAGCGGCAGTAAGAGGAGACCTCGAGACAGCAGAGCAAACAGCACGGAGCGCATTGAAAAAGCTCAAGGAGAGGTGAGTCACTGTCTGCCCACATGGTACATGCCTGTAAACCACAGATTAGCGTTCAATCAGTGCCGGCGCCGTATCGACGAGGCGATTGCCAGCTGCTAGAAGAATGGGACGAGCAGGCTGTCATGAGAGCGTAACTGTATTCGCAATAAACAATTGTAACATGATCACGGATATTAAGCATAACCATAAGCACACGTCGCAAGATCGCACCCGTCTCCGACTCAGATGAACACACCATGAAACCCGGCGCTGAGCCACTTGCCCTCAGGCGCCTCGGCCCTAGCGAGCTCCCCCCTCGTCCGCGCATCCAAGACGAGGAGGAAGCTCCTCCTCCTAACCCCATCAAGGACGACAGTGAGCAGCACCCCGTCGTCTTCCTCCGTGCTCCCTGGCCGGCTGACAAATAGCGCTTCTCCTACCGTCTGCCCCGGAGCGGCGTACCAGTGCTGTGCCGTAGGCGGGCTGGTAGACACGTCGAACTTGACGATCGTGTCCGCGAACAGGAGGGTGTTGCGGGTCAACGTTATGGTATAGGCGAAACGGTACGGCTTGTGGTATACCTCCGGACGCACAGTGGGCAGCTCGATGCTGCCGTCTGTCGTCCATTCTACCTGTGCTTCCCTAGTAGCGGACGTTGCAGCACTAGTTTTGGAAGGATCAGAAAGCCTGTACCGGCGCGCCTTGCCGAACTGTTCCTTCAGCCCTTGACGAAGCTCTTTAACATACAAAAGCTGGATAAAAGATGCATCAGGGTACGCGGCAAGATCGATGATCACGTCTTCTGTTTCGGGGTCGTCGTACGCGTTCAGCTGGTGGAAGCAGAAGAAAGGCGGGGTGGTGTATTTTGCTACGAGGCCGCCTGAGTGCCGGTCGATAACGTAGAAGGTGGTTGGGTGGGTTGGGGTGGTGCTGATTGACTGGGCGAGATTGCCGTGGTAGAGGACGGACAGGCCGTAACTAGACGATGTGGTCAGTTGAGCTCACGCGGGATGGGTGAACATACTTGGTGATCTCCGACGCCCAGACACATAGAATGACGTACCGCCCCGTCATAGCGAAACTGTGTATATAAGCCAATGGTGCATCCGTGACTTCCGCAAGGATCTTCACTTCCCCGTCTTTGCTGATGCGGAAGACCTTGTACACTGGGCGAGGGCCGACGTTGACCACGAAGTTGTAGTACGCTCCTTTGAAGTCGGTACATGCGTGCGCGGCGGCTAGCTCTCCCGTTAGCTCGGGGTGCACGGATCGATAGATAGCCAGAGCGAGGGGCTCAAGTGTATCCGGATCGAGCAGCTGGAGCAGGCTAGCATCGGTCTTCGCTACGAGGTATTTTGGCCCTTCCCCCGCCTTTGGCTCCCGCGCTACTAGCCTGTCGGGGATCTTCTTCCTGGGAAAGCCTGGCATGTCGAGGGAGAACGTCACCTGGGCGTTCTGCCCATCGGGTTTCTTATGCGTCTGGGCTGCTTGGCCCGAGCCAAGCGTGCGGCGGAAAGCGGCAAAAGATTTGTGGAACAACTTCTCGCAGGGGTCTGTTTCTCCAAACGTGATTCCGGGGACTTTACCCTCTCGGGCGATCTCCTCTTCCGCAGAGAGGCAGGACTTGCGAGCAGAGTACTCTACCCCTTTGGGGGAGATCGAAAACCTGTGGTTGATGCCCAGCGCGTCGAACCAGTGCTGTATGTCCACGGTCCCACCCTTCGCTTTCGGCGAAGGGACGGAATAAGTGCCTGGGCCGGTGCGGTAGAGTACACCCTGGAGCCACGGGGAGAGCGTGCCCTGCACAGGGAGGGAGATGGGTTCAAGCGTCTCGGGGGCGTTGCTGAATGCGAGTTCATTCGCTGCGTGAAGGTCTGGCGGGGGAGTGCGGTCATCCTGTATTTAGCTGGGACCTTGTTCGTGGTGGTGAGTGATACCAGAGAGTGGGGAGTGGGGAGCCGCGTACAGAGAGCGTAAAATACCGCCCAGTTGTGCGGGTCCTCGTCTAGGCCAAGAATCGTCATGCCCCGTACCCATCGCTCACGTAGCGGAGGTAACGAAGGAGACAGGTTCCTGCCAAGATGGACATTCGAGACGCATGACTGAACCCCGCAGTGCCCCGCATCAAGAGGATGAACGTGCAGGGATGTTGAGCCCGGGTTGGGAGAAACGGTTACTCATCGCCCTGAGTCTGATAGATGGCTTCCATGTCGGTGTGGTCGTCGGTGGATGAGTTGTGACATTCCGCAGCAATTGTGATCCTTTTGATGAGTTGTCCAAGAGAGTATAATTTGGGCATTGACCGAGAGGTGTTCCGAAGTGCATACAACCATGTACAGCCGTTGACTGCGGAGTGGACGCCGTGAGAAAGCATGACAGTGATCATGTGATACACTCTTTCATGGGGGCCGATATATCCCCCGAGCCAATCAGAGCATTCCATACAACACAACACACGTGATCGGGCGCTTAATCCATCACAATAGACGGCAAAGTGTATTATCACCTCATCACAGTACTCAATGGCCCACGTCCTCTTCCTCCTTTCGAGCCAAGGTCACGATCCTACAGAACTATTCATACCCGCACTCCATTTTCTCAAATGCGGGTTCTCACTAACGTTCGCGACGAACGACGGCGAGCCCGCACAGGCTGACCAGAAACTGCTCGAGCGTGGATCGTTTGGCAGAGTATGGGGCGCGTCGGAAGAAGGTCGAATGGCATATGAACAGATCTTGCAGTTGGAGGCATTCCAGAAACCCGATAGCTGGGGTTCAGAGCGGTTTAACGTACTGGACTACGGTACGCCGCCTTCTCAGACGAGCGTCCCTCTACTTAGCTCTGGGCAGACGCGATCATCCTCCCAGGAGGACACGACAAGCCCATCCGCGCATTCCTCGAATCCAAGACCCTCCAAGCCCACCTACGCACCTTCTGGCCCTTCCTCTCTCGCTCCTCGTCAGACCGACCCCGCGTAATAGGCGCGATATGTCACGGTTCTCTAGCACTGGCATTCACGGAACTCCCTTCTGGTCAGAGCGTGCTCCGTGGCGTGTGTTCGGCTACGCTTCCGAGGTGGATGGAGCGCGCTGCTTGGTGGGGCTCGCAGTTCTGGGGCTTGGGAGGGTATTATAGGACTTATGGACCGGAGGGACGGTGGTGCGCCGACGACATCGTTGCTTCAGGAGCGAAGTACGTGCAAGGACCGTTGTCAACGAGGTACGTCCCAAGGTTGTGGTCCTCGGTGCGGAAAGGGCTGATCGTGAAAAGTCCGTTCGTGTGCGTGGACCCAGAGTGGAGGTATGTCAGTGCGAGGTTCCCGGGGGACGCGAAGCTTTTTGCCCAGAAGGTGGAGGAGGAAATCAGGCTGGCTATGGGAGAACGTTGACTGGTGCGCATGGCGCGTGTACATAAAATGACATTGTCTTGTATCAGTAGAGAGAAACGTATGTATTGTGCGGCCCTACACTCTGGGGGAATCGCCGACGGGTGGACCATCACCCAATCGTCGTCCAAGGGTATCATCTGCTACAAGGGAGTTTTCTCCATCTTGGAGGGCTCGATGTTGCTCTCCCATGATCGGGAAAACCTAACCTCTTTGCTTTGGGACCAACCGAAAGCAACATCACACGCTAAAGCCCTTCACCTCTTCGTCTTCGGCAGACTCAGGCCCAGCGTGCAGATCAGGGAGCTGACCGAACCTCTCTAGGAACCGCTGGAATTCGTCTTCAAGGAATGGCGTATACGGAATGCCTACGTCCAGCAGGTCGTGCGCAGTGTGTTGGATAACAGGCCTGAGGGATGACCTAAGCCGTGCTTGCTCTTGAGTGAGATTAGAGAACGCATCGACGGACCCCGAGCCAAGCCCTAGAGTATCGATTCCCTCGGCCAGCTCTTGCCCGAGCTGGAACGGGTGTGCGCCAAGTCTATCCGCCGGTGGGCTTCTCCATCCCAAACTCACTTCAGTTGACGACTTCCAAGCACTGGCACCAGTAGTCCGAGTCACACTCCCGGTCTCGCCTTCAGGCGACGTCCCCCAGCCTCGAGGATAACCCGATCCACTCCCAGCCGAGGCCCGCTTCCCTCGGGACGAACCCCCACCCCTCGCCCGCCTCGTCCCAGGAGGAGAAACCGGCAACCGGTAACCCTCCCTCGCATATATACGCATCTCTGACTCTGTATGTGCCCGGTAGAACTCGCTCGCATCGAACCCTTCACACTGCTCTCCGGGGAGGAGGGCGAATGTCAGCTGAGATTTTCCGTATTTCTTACCCCTGGATTATGGTATTCGAACCATTTGATTACCAGGAGGATAAATGACAGGTGTGCTCTTGGATGATTGTCCAGCGGTGCGAGATTGTGGCGACAAAGAATCCCCGGATTGGGTCATCCACGGTCCCGCAGGTGCGAACTGCAGGATGCCCAAGTGAGGCGCTAGGTCGGAGCCTAAAGGCGTGTGAGACCTGACCATCGGGACGGACCGATAGGGCCAATTGCCTTCAAATTTCATGCTTGGTTGGGTGTTGTGTCTTCCCTGGAGGTCTGGAGGGCAACCGGAGTGAGTGACTGGGAAGGGGATCGTGTGCTTGCCGAATGCGTGGAGGGGATTCGCACACTGCGGTCATTCGAACGGCGACTGGCATCTTCTGTTCCATGATATACCACATTCCCGGCAGGTGCAGCAGCGGCAATGCGTGCAAATGGATTGGAAAGTCGCCCGATCTTGTTCTCGGCATCCTTCGCGCTCCAGGGGGGGTTACATCAGACCCAGGCAAGGCTCGCGCCGATACATCGAAGATCCCAGGAGTATCCTCATGATTCAACAAAGGCGAGCGATCACCATAGCCTCCCTGGTTAGCCTAGCCTCATGAGATCGCGACAATCCGTTTATGAAGAGCACTCCATTAGAGTGTTCGAAGAAAAAGATGTCGAGACAGCCACGTTGAGAAGACCAAATTCAGTGACAGCTTCAGCAATCTGCCACGTCATTTGAGAACAAATGGCACTGGCCGTTGTTTCTCTTCTTTTTCCCGCCTTGCGCTCATCTACAAGACGTCTGTCTCTTATACTCTCGTATCTGCTAGCATGTGCGTCGGGCAAGCTGGCACGTGTACTCTGTCTTGGCGACACATCGAGATCAGTTGCACTTGAGGCCTGAGAATCAAGAACGAAGCACTCATGAATACGGTTAACGCTCTCGATCCCTCTTTGGTAGGCTTCGTGGATTGTCCTGATAGCCTCGTTGGTTAATTCCCTTGCCTTCGTCTGGTCATCAATATCAAGTTGGTTGCCTGGTTGCGGGACTTTGTTCCTCTCTCTGCTGGGCAAACTATTCATGCTGCGCATCAGTCCATTGGTATTTTGAGTGGTATGCCGACGATTGGCGTACAATTCTTGAGCATCTGCTCTCTGGTGTTCATATCCTGGGTATACAGACTGGTTGCGGACTATATCAGGAGATCCGATCCGTGGCATTCCTAGCGCAGTCTGTTGCCAACTGGGTGCGAGGCGATTTTGAATGGCTAAAAATCTGCTGTAAGTGTACAAGATGTCGTGCGCGAGGGGAAAATGACCGTTATTGACAGTATTCTGGCCGCCCGTGATGCCGGGGTTTTCTGTGACCCTTCTGTGCTGATCAGGGCCGAACATTTGGGCGGACGGAGGGGAGTCCCAGAATTAGTTAGCACGTTTTCCGTCTTTTGTTCTCGACCACTTCGGAGGAGAAGCAAGTTCAGACGTGTGACAGAGAAAGGTATAGTCCACATTTACAGGCGATCCAAATACTGAGTTCTTATGTCCTCTGGGCATGGACAAGGGGTTGGCCAGAACAAACCACGTCTTGAATCCGACGATCGTTCTACACGTGTCACTTCCTCTTCGCCTGAGTTACCAAAGGATCAGTGGCAATCTCCGATGTCAAAGGGAATTGACATCGCTCAACTTCGATCAGTGTAGAGAACGAAAGCTAGACCAGGAGGGGAAACGCATGGTTGGCACCCCTTTTCGAAGCAGCCCCCTGGAGCGGTGAAGGGCTGGAACGAGTTCCCCAATCCATCATTGGCATTGTTATCCCGATCAAACAGATCATGAATCATGTTGTTCCAATCATTCTCTGATAAAGGGGCATTGGCATTTTTTTCGCTGCCCGTTGTCGTTTCCAAGCCATGAACAAAGGTGGAAAAAACGCGTGTCGTGCATTTTAACCAGATTGCCGCTATTAAAGTGGGCTGTTGGCAGGGCCTTTCCAAATTTTATCAGAAATGAGCAACACGTGCTAGCGTAAGTAGCAAAGACTCGGAATTTGGATAATGCTGTTTCTGGCGTCATCGATCATTGTTCAATAACGTTGGCCTTGATTTCATATCAGAACATAAACGACCCCGAGACATCCTAGCCCCACTCTTGGGTCACTGTATTGTTAAGGCCACCGATCGGGCCCTTCACCCGATCGCACTTGACACAGAGAAGACATCTAGGCAAAGCCATGTCCTGATCGAGGACTCAAACTTCTTCCTTTGTGCGCCCAACCGTAAGGCCATTAATGGACATCTCGTATGAACCGGCGGTATCATGTGGGTGTCATCAAACGATACGCGTTGTGCACAGTCCCAACCCCCTGCCCCACGCACGCCTCCTTCGTATATCTTGATATCGCAACGTCGCGCAATCAGGAAGGACGTGGCATACACCCCATGGTGCCCATCCGAAGGCTAGCTCTCTAGAGATACAAGCAAGCAAGTAGCCAGCTTTCTAAATCGGACGAGAAGATATCGGAAATACGGAAAGAAGAGCCTTTCATACGTAGATCTATTTCCTAACCGGGCTAGAAAACTAGTATTACCGTATTTCTCCCGCCTGGCGGCATCATACAAGGCTACTAATCCAGGACGTGGGTGTATCGGCAGGAATAAGCGGATAAAGGCGAGAGACGAGAAATTACAGCAGAACATTCTGAAAGGAGCTTCTTTCGCAAGGGCAAGGAATAGGAGAGACCAGGAGCGCGACCAGTACCAATGTCCCAATGAAACGTGAACAGTTTGGCTTTGGCACCGATCAGTACTCGGCTTCCTCTTCGCCGGCCTCCTCGGTATCGCGTGCGACCTCCTCGTAGTCCTTCTCGAGCGCTGCGAGATCTTCACGGGCCTCGGCGAACTCTCCCTCCTCCATACCCTCACCGACATACCAGTGAACGAAGGCACGCTTGGAGTACAGCAGGTCGAACTTGTGGTCGAGGCTGCTCCAAGCCGCCGAGATCGCCGTTGTGTTGCTGAGCATGGTAAGTGCGCGAGGCACCCTGGCGAGGTCACCGTCGGGGACAACAATGGGCGGCTCATCGCAAATACCAAGCTTGAAGGCCGTGGGGCACCAGTCGACGAACTGCACCGTGCGCTTTGTCTTGATCGTGCTGATGGCATTGGTAACATCCTTAGGAGTCACATCACCGCGGTACAGCAGGCAGCAGGCCATGAACTTGCCGTCCTTGGGGTCGCACTTAACCATCTGGTTCTGGGGCTCGAAGCAGGCGAACGTGAGCTCGCTCACGCTATTGCGTTCGTGACCAGCCTTGTCAGCGCTAATAAGAGGCGCGTAGGACGCGAGCGGGAAGTGGATACGAGGGAAGGGGACGAGGTTGGTCTGGAATTCGTTCAAATCAACGTTGAGCGAGCCGCTGAATCGGAGCGAGGCCGTAACGGAAGAAACAACCTGGGCGATCAGCCTGTTGAGGTTGGTGTAACCCGGGGCAGGGATGGACAAGCTGCGACGGCAGATGTCATAAAGTGCCTGGTTGTCGACCATGAACGAGCAATCGGAGTGCTCGAGGGTGCTGTGGGTGGTGAGAACAGAGTTATACGGCTCGACGACAGCGGTGGCCAAGGATGGCGACGGGTAGACGGAGAACTCGAGCTTGGACTTCTTGCCGTAGTCCGTGGCGAGGCGCTCCAGGAGAAGGGCACCAAGACCAGAGCCGGTACCACCGCCGAACGAATGGAAGACAAAGAAGCCCTGGAGACCAACGCATGCCTCAGTCAGGCGACGCGTCCGGTCCAAGACCAAGTCGATAATCTCCTTGCCGATTGTGTAGTGGCCACGAGCGTCTACAGAATTGGATTAGTCAGGTTCAAGACGCGTGAATTGGCGCAGGAAGGCATACAGTTGTTCGCGGCGTCCTCCTTGCCAGTAACCATGTTCTCGGGATGGAACAATGCGCGGTACTTGCCGTTGCGCACCTCGTCGACGACACCGGGTTCGGTGTCGACAAACAGCGAACGGGGGACATACTTCCCGTGACTCGTCTCGCTGAAAAAGGTCGAGAAACCCTCCATGGTGTCCGGCTTGCGGTTCGGGTCTGACTTGAGGCGGCCATCGGGCTTTGAAAGGGAGAAGGATGAATATATGCGCGTCATTGATGTGAAAAAAGCGTACGGTTAGTCCGTGCTCCTCGGTGTACAGCTCCCAGCACGCGTTTCCGATTTGAACACCAGCCTGACCGACGTGGATAGAGATGACCTCCCTCATGATGGTTTACTCGATATATAAATGATGCGAGGGTGACGTGTGGTAGATGGACGGACGACGAGGACGACGAAAGGGACACCGTCGAGCGTAGATGGAAAGGATAGAAGGGTTCCCCCCCAGAGAGTCGCGTGAAGACAACGCGGCGCGTCGGACGGAACACGAGGCGGGAGCTTTGGAAGCCCAACGGATGGAGTTTACCTTTGATCCCGTTTTCGTCTGTTTTGACATCACAAACAATTATCTCTTCGAGCTGCTTTGTGCCCAACGCTCGGACTGGAGCATATATACGCTGCTGCAAAGTACCGGTCAATCAAGTTTTTCTATTTTCTTATTCCATTTCTCCAGAGTTATCGATAAATCTTCCCGACCGCCGATTTTCTTACTGGTTCTTGTCCACGGCCCTGTGAGCCGAACAACAAATGGACGTCTGGCCAACGAAGCACATGCGTTCTGGATCGTCCTTTGCTCCTGTCTTCTGGATCGTCATGACTGTTCGTGGGATATTCATCAAGAAGGCGCATCGGAAGACAATATTTTTACGTCCCAACAACATACATAACAATGTCTGACCTAGGCATGGAATGGTCATGCCTCCGGTCTTGGAATTGTGTCGCAAGTCGGCGCCCCACTCTCTCCGCCCTGACCGTAGAATGTCTGCTTGATCCACCGTCGGCCACATGTGCTACGCGCCAAAGCTGGTATTTCTCTCAGTTGTTCGCGCGTTTCGCTCTCCGCCGAGGGCGACTCCGAGGTCATAGCGCATGCTCAGAATGCTACAGCGCTGGCTGATACCCCACCCTAAAATTTTGGCTCATATACGAGCGAGTTGGCATGCGAATTGTGATCGGATCTGTGCCTCTGCCCCCATTTCCGATCTCTCCACACTCCTTTGCTATCGTCTTGCTGTTCCCCTTGGCGCGACATGTCGGTGGCCCTGGTGCTAGATGCGACTGACGTAGCCAATGCCTTCGCTACAAGTTACATTGAGGCTGCCGCTATGGTCTGTAAGATACCTCCTGCACGTTATCATCACACTGATATTGCTGGTAGACAGCACTCATATACGATCACTTGCTCACTCTCGCCGAAGAGGAAAGTTCTTCCTGGTCTCCTCCAGCAGGGCATTGACTCCGCGATAGATCGAGCTCATATGGAAATCGTCATTCTCTCTTGTCAAAATATTGTTTCTCATCAATCGGTACTCAGTGCTGGGAGTGATGCTCGTACAGACCTGGTGTGCGTCCAGTGCATAAACTCAAGACGCTGATTGAGCGAAATGCAGCTATGGCGGGCTATGCGACTGGGTTAAATGATCACGTGCGTGCATACAGCTGACACTTGACCAGAACTGATAGTCAATCAGATGTCAGTTTTAGCCCGTGTTGACGGGAGCACATACTCATCCCCCCAGCAGCTGTCGTAACCTTTTCTTTGCAGTCTCAACCTGGCAACTCATTGCTGGGGGTGGAATATCGCCTTGTATGAGTTTCCCACACCAGTCTGTGCCACTGCTCATCTAAACCGGGTTCAGTCCTCCTGTTCCTCCGTGTCTGGTCCATCTACGGCCGAACACGGACGGTACAAGTTGTCGTAGGCGGGCTGTGCGCCGCCAACTTCATAGCGATCCTCATCAGTGCGACCCTCAACATCTGGATCCTGTTAGGTATCCTGTGACCTGATACCTGATACTCGGAAGACATGCTCATAGTGCTTAATAGGGAATATATACTATGCTCCGCAGATTAACCGGTGTGTCTGTACTCAACGGTATGGTGCCAGTCTTTCATCCTAAAGCAGCTGCTCACAGTGATACAGCCCAGAATATGTGTGGGTTATCTGGGTCACCCCGGTCTGTGTCTGTGTCTTGGCAACCCCATTCTACAATTTATGTTTGGGGTGATAGTTGATATACGAGACCGTTATATTTGGTATGATCGCATACAAGACTTGGACACATATGCGGGAAGACATCCAGACGCCCATTATCACCGCGCTGTGGCAAGATGGTATACTGTATTTCACCGTCCTCGTCGGTAAGCGGGATTGTTTCACCCAGTTGAAGAAGTTGTTAAGGCGCTTGATACAGCTGTGCGTTTGTATACTATTCTTGCATGGATTGTTGCGCCGGTTCGTTGTTCTCACGGTAACTGAGCGTATATTATACTAACCGAATATTGCAGCCCTCTCTGTTCTTTATGGGAATATAGTGCTGGATTCCCGCTTGATTCCAACATATCAATGACTGACTCGCGTCGCAGCCTCATGCTCGCCACCATAACAACCATGGCGTCGCGAACGATCCTCCACCTGCGCGCCGCCGCGCGCCAGCGGGACAGCGGATACATCACTCCTTCCTGGGTGGCAGAAGAGTCGGGCCTCCCGCCTATGTCCGAGTGGCTTGGCCTCCGAGTGATCACTTGGACGGACGGCATCAACGTGGTCGACGGCGACGCCGTTGCACGCGGGGCAATGAGCATCCAGGCTGGCAACCTGGTGCATTCGCGGTCGACGAGCACGCTGCGCAGAGACGTCGTCAGCGTGAGAAGGGAGACCGAAGTCGTGAGGGACTGAGCTCGACGTGCACCGCACCCATCGGGCAAGGACGGGAGATGCGCGCCACGCATTCATCGGCGGGCGTGGGGGGCACCCGGCGGCGACAGTCAATTATGATCCTACCTTCTCGGAACTGAATTTGGCGTTGCGGGGTACTGATGGCTGTACAAGGAAAGTGAAGAAGCTTAACCAATTCATTCTTGCATTCATTGAGAGTTGCTATGCCTCGCATAACTTCGATAAAACTATCTGAATACACAACGATCCAAACTAATTTCGCAAGCGTTAGATGCTCTCAGATAAGCTGGATGCTGCTATACGCGGCGGAGAAGAGCCGCGGTAGTACGTTCGATAGACCCGGAAGAGCGCTCCGAATTCGTGGGATGCATCTGATAACTGGCCAGCTCCACGGGGTCGGGAAGGTACAAGCAGGCACGATGCGGTGCATTCGGTCCAGCCGGGGCGGTAAGGGCCGAATGCAGCTCCACGTTAACCCATCCGTGTATCCGGGCCCCCGACTAGAATCTTTGGAAGGCAGGCGCAACATGCGGTTTCCTCATGGCCTCACCCGCACCTGAACGTGTACTTCCCAAAAGAGGAAGTTGTGAAAAGAGGTTTTGGAGAGCGCAGAGCTTCCCGAGACAATGAAACTCTCCGCTGAGTAGACAGGTGATGACTAGTCCTGCTATGATTGGTGAGCCTAACGCCCTGCAGGGCTAATGACTTTCCTCTTGTGGACAGGGTCGCTCCACACAAGGCAGCTTATCCCTCAGACTGACCAAGGCGCTTTTCGTGGAGCCAGGAGCGGGCAGTTCGGCAACCCGGCAAACCCGACAAGTCAAAACCGACTGAGCGGAGGAAGGGTCGATTTCGTGCGTGAGATTGTGCGTCGACGCCTGGGCGTGCAGGCACAGGTCATTGTTGTGGAGCCAGCGCACATTATCGGCAAAGGTTGTACTGTAATTACTTTGATCGGCTGCCTGCAGCGTACGATGAGCTCGTAAGCGGCCGAGAGCCGGAGAGGGAAAAATCGAGGGTATGAGGCGCCTAGATGTATGTTGTGCCGTTATTGCCTTTTGTAATCTTTTCTCACAGCAAACCGATTTTCATTTAGCAGAGCTGGACGACTGGCTATGCCTGAATGGATCGTGAAACTGGTGGGATGCAAACGGGGGCTAATACGTCAGCTAGGGTTTCTTGCCTGCGGCAGCCGGAAATATCAGCAGGATAAGCGTCATTTGCGTTCCTTGGCACTCATTCGCTGTCCATGGGATTGTATTTCTGGCAGGTGGCCGAGGGACCCTGCAGGGCGAATGAACTACATCACGCAATGGCAGTTTCCTGGAGGTTGATAGCGGAGAAGGGATTTCCGATCGGACTGTCTGGAGAGATTAACGCCTCGCCTTTTTGCCAGGAACAATTCGAAGCAGGGTCGGAAAAGTAAGCAGGGGAAAAAACACGTTGGTGTGCCTGACCCTTGACCGGTAATGACAAAGTGAATTAAAGACAAGGGCTTGCAGATTTGACTAAGACGGTCAGGACAGGTATGATGACATCGAGCAAGAAGCGAAAACAAACGGAGGAAGGGAACGGGTTGAGGAAAGAATTGGAACGGGAGCGCTGGATGATAATTTCCTGATTTGGGAGTTAGGAAGGGTCCAGCAAGGGAAAGAGAAGCGCGGAAGCGAAACTGTACCGATGGTTCGGAGACGATTCTGGGCTAAGGGGCGACCGGAAGCAGTTGAAAGGGTCTCCATGGCTCTTGATCTTCCCGGGGCGGGACCACATGGAATAAATACTCCGCTTCTCGTCGAAGCTGAACAATAGAAATATTTTTAAGGTCTAGGGATCATTTCATGTGCAGTTCCATGTGGGAGATCTGGGTGGTAGGAAAAGGCACCGAATGGAAGAAAAGAAGATGGGGTACCTGCACCTGACCACGTAACAACTCACTCCCGCCGCCGTCGTCCCTTGATATGGCAACTGGTTTACCGTTGGCTTACTTGCGTAGAAAATACGATTGCATGCTCTGTCATGCGGGCGCCAGACTGAGTTGGAGGTGGTTGATGGAAACGCGTTCCGCAGGGCCCACCGGTCCGCAGTGGAAACAGCAAAACACGGGGATTGCGGGGACGGTGTGGCCAAGACGTCACGATTTACCACTTGAGATTGGGGATAGTGGGGAGGTTGTCTCAACCCGATCCGGAGTAGGCGTATTTCGGTGCGGGGTTGAGGAGGTATTGCACTTTAGATTGTTGATTATTGATGGAGGGATTGAAGGGGAATCGATGGGTAAGACGATTCAAGCGGAAGCATGTCGGCGTTCGAGGTCATCTGATTGGCCCGCCGGCCCGAATGGGACAATAACGGACCGGCGCACGGTGACATTTCTACGTCTCCCTCTCGACCGTCTCATATCTTTCCTTGTACCGCGTGGGGCCCCGTTGGTCGCTTCTCCTATTCAGTTTCTCACTCTTCGGTTGGTTGCGGTCCGCCCGCAGCGTCCTGTTGGTCCATCTCCGGCGGTATCACACTTGGCACCATCTCGGCTGGACTAACTGTCGTGCCTGGCATTCTGCACAGCTTAATGAATAGGCTTGCAAGCCCTAGTATGTCGCCGTTCGGCACGAATTGACCGGCACGGGTCGAGGAAAGGGGAGGGAAATTCACGATCATTCGTTTCCATCTGGTTCCTCGACTTGGTTGGATGTATCTGCGTGCTTGCTGGCTTCTCATTTCTCTCTCAATCGGGCTGGTCCAATGATATCCGACTTTGTCTTTCTTGGGGGGGTCACGGCCGCCATTTCCCAGGAATAGAAACCTCCGTCGCACGGTACCGGTCCGTTTGACTTCTGGCCTTCTGTTCCCCTCCTCCCCCTGCTCCAAACACTATATAGTGTGCACCCTTTGCTCACTCCCCTGCTCTCTCAAGCCCCAGCCGGCCACACGATCCGGTCCTCTCACCACCCCCTCAACCCGTAACGACGACTTTTGACACGTCTTCGTCCCTAAACCCCCTTTGGATCCGTTGTTTGTTACCGACACGACCCATTCCCATACAACAAGCCTATTACAACAATGGCTACTGTAGAGAAGTCTTCCATCCCCGACATCGACGAGAAGGGCTCCGACGTCGTCCTCGAAGAGACAGGCGACAAGGCCGCTGGCTACCACGCTCCAGGCACAATCGTCATTGATGAAGTCGCCGAGCGCGCCCTCGTTCGCAAGTGGGACAAGATTCTTCTCCCTTTGCTCATGATTATCTACCTGCTCGGCTACCTCGACCGCACGAACTTGGGTAACGCTCGTCTCATGGGCCTTACTCAGGACAACCTCGGCGGCGATCCCACCGGTCAGCTCTACGCCTGGATCAATTCGGCCTTTTACTTTGCATACATCATTTTCCAGTATCCAGGCACGATCCTCGGCAAATACTTCCCCCAGAATTACTGGCTCGGTATTGCCGCAACCGGCTGGGGTGTGTGCTGCACACTCCAGGCCACGTCTTTCAACTTTGCTGGTCTCTTTGTTGCACGTTTCGGTGTTGGTGTGTTCGAGTCGATGTTCTCGCCGAACATGTCCCTCTACTTCAGTGCGTCATAGTCCTCTATCTGGATTACGTTTATTGATAAATTCTCGCAGCGTTCTTCTACACTCGTAAAGAGATTGGCAAGCGCCTTGGAATTTGGTTCGCTTGCGCCTCCATCGCTGGTGCTTTCGGTGGTTTGATCGCCTTCGGTGTCCAGCACATCGTCTCCTCGGTCCAGCTCTGGAAGCTGCTCTTCATCATCGAGGGTATCCCCGCCATCTGCTTCGGTATCGCCTCCATCTGGATCCTCCCCGACCGCCCGGAGACCACCAAGTACCTTACTGAGGAGGAGCGTGTCCTGGCCATCACCCGCATGAGCCGTGGTGGCAAGAAGGAAGAGGAGGGCACCCTAAACAAGGCCCACGTCAAGGCCGCCTTCAAGGACTGGAAGATCTACGTCTACGGCTTCGTGTATTTCGGCGTCAACACCGCTGCTGCGGCCCTCGGTGCTTTCCTGCCCACCGTCATTGCTCAGCTCGGCTTTACCGCTGCCCAGGCCCAGCTCCTCACCGTCCCGCCCTATGCTGTTGGTGCCGTCCTCCTCATCATCACTAACTTTGTCTCCGACCACTACCAGTCCCGCGGTATCCCCATGGTGTTCGCCTCCCTCTGGGGTGCCATCGGCTACCTCCTGCTGATCGTCTCCACCTCCGTCGGTGTCCGCTACTTTGCCACTTTCCTCATCACCTCATCCACCTACACCGTCATCGGCCTCGCCATTGCATGGTTCCCGTACAACATGGGCTCAGAATCTAAGAGGGCCGCCGGTATTCCGATCTTCCAGTCCATTGGCCAGTGCGGCTCCATCTGCGGTTCCAACATCTTCCCCACCGCAGACGCTCCTCGCTACTTCAAGGGCTTCGGTCTCTCTTGCGGCTTCTCATTTGCCACTTGCCTGGTTGCGGCTGGCATGACCGCATACTTCCGGTACGAGAACGCACGCAGGGACCGCCTCCACGGCGAGGTTGACCGCAACGCCCCCGTCGACACCTCCGATGCCGACCTTTCCCCTGGCTTCCGCTACACGGTTTGAGCGGAGTCGTGCTGGTCCTCGGTCTCAGGATGTGGTCGGTCGCCGTAGCCGCGGTTGGCGTTGGTGTCGCTCTTCCTATCACTTTATCCCCATGGCTGCTCAATGCAGTTTGCACCCCCTACACCTCTCCTAATGATCTCTCAGCGCACAACGGCCATAGGGAATTACGGGCTCGGTTCGGCGTCTGGCTACAAAATGATCACTAATACTTGTACGATAATCTATGATCCTGGGCTCGTTTTAGTCTGCAGTTTAGTGCATATAAAATGATGGATTTGGTTTGACAATAATTTGCGCGACGTCCATGATACCCAGTTGGAGTGGCCTCGAAAGTGGCCAGAGGGTCCAACCTTTGGATGAAGGTGGCACGCGGTCGTCCATGTCTAGAACAGCGCTACCGAGTGGTGAGACGACGTTTGAGAACGTTTCAAGGATAACGCTGCATTCGGTCGGATACTGCAGTGCACCCCGGCAACACAGCAGATAACGTACGTGAATGTCGTGTTCTGGAAGCAGAAGCGGCGGCGACTGCGTGCGAGGACCGAGCGAGGAATATTCTTGGGCTCTTCAGTATTTGGACGCACATGCTTGGCTGACAAACGCAGCAAAGGGATTCAACGGCGGTTATCGTTGACCCAATATTTTCACCAAACACGATCGACCGTTCTCGTTAACGTACGTGCTCCATGTTCCTCTTCCCTTCGAATTCCGCACGCGCATGCGTACGTTTCCTGAATCGGATAAATATGTACCGGTACACGCTGTCCCATCGTCCCTTACCCGATCTGGGCTGTCTCATATACCCGCGTACAGGGTCATGGGTGTGAGATTAGAGTAGACAAGGAATATTTGCTGACAGCGGCGCCCTTACTCCCTGTGATCGAGGTGGACTGCGTTCTGTATAGAAGTGACGTTCTCATGCTACGTGGATGAGGTTATCATATCAGGGTAAGGTGGAGCTGACCCTAAAGGAGTGGAGGAGCACGGACCATCCTCGTCGTCCCTCACGCTGGGCAGGGACTAGACGATCACGCTCACAAGCTAGGGAATGAAATGCCTCCGTATCACGCGACAGTCACGTTCCAGTGTGACGCGTTTTTGGCGCGCAGTGGCGGATGCACTGAGGAGTGATGAATGGTTAGGAGTACTCATCTTTGCTGAGCGAGACTTAGATCGTTCCACTGCATAGACTTGGACAACTTCTGCTTCGTCGTTCAAGTACCTGGACAGTGTCCTCGACGTTCTTGATATTATCGACTATAAAAGTGGAAGACGCTGAATGGCCGAGAGCTCTGGTGCTCAATCCGGCACCATTACATCATCCGGAGCAACTGCTTACACCGGACAAGCACACACCAGGAGTGGCAGCTACTCGCACGGCGTCCTCTCCCAATCGGACAATCTTGCGCACCTCCTCCCATCCTCCGTCCCCCGCACACTCCGCCGCACTCGCACGCTCAACGTCTTTCAGTCATTGCGGGAGAATAGGAGGAGGAGTGCGCCCCCTGTTCAGGAATGGACGATCTTTGGCGAGCTGTTGAGGGAGAGCGAGGGGCCACAGAGGGTGGTCACTAGTGCACCGGGTAGTGTGCTGCTTGATGCGAGCCTGAGGAGTAGGGAGAGAAGCAGATCGGTGCGATTGAGCACCGTCTTCCTGAGTGGCTCAAGGCCGACATCACCCCTGTCTTCTCCAGGTAAGTGATCGTGCATCTCTCACTGGGGAATATACGCTAATTGAATGACAGACTCGATGTCGACCGTCCATACGCCACTAGTCACTCCCTTCACTCGCCTAAGCAATCAATTCCCAGAGGGTTCAGCCCCGTACTTTCCAATAGTGAACGGCGATGCCCAACCCAAACCCACCAAAAGGTTCCAGCTCCCCACACTCAAATACCTGTACAATATCATTACCCTCAATTTCCTCAGTCGACCGACGAAAGATATCCTCAAATGCGTACTGGCGTACTTTATAGGCTCGCTGTTTACTTTTGTACCGGAACTGTCTGCATTTATCTCGGGCCTGAAAACGGAGGATAGTGCACTGGGAGCATCTGCGTCGGCGCATATGGTTGCCACCAGTGAGTGGGCTTGATGCTAGATTGTACCGTAATGGGCTAATCATCTGCAGTCGCCGTCTATTACAACCCAGCCGTAAGTGAGCACAACACCAGTGTTTGCTGTCTCTAACACGAAGTAGAAAACCGTCGGAGCAATGATGGAAGCAGACATCTTCTGCATCACCGCATCCCTATTCACGGCCGTCTGTTCTCTCCTCGCCATGGGCAACTTCTGGGTATTTGAAGTCCTCCCTGGCTGGGAATGGCTAGCCGATGTATTCATATTGCTCTGGATTGGGAGTGTCATGTCTGTGGTTGCGTTTGCGAAACTGTGGATGAACAAGGCGTCTTTCAACCCAGGTAGGTGTCGCCGTTCTGCCCTGTTGGACCTTGACTGAAATATGCGCAGCTTGTTCGATGGCGGTGGTCACTTTATCCATTGTGTGAGTCGCTGATCTACATTGAAGTCGTCTTCATGCTTAATTTGAACGACAGTGTCATAAGGGAAGGTGGACTCGAGACGCTTCTTCGAGTTCTATTCATAATATTCATCGGCACGCTCATCTCCAACGTCGTCTGTTTCCTTCTCTGGCCCGAGAGCGCCGTGACTCGCTTACAGTACGCTTCTTCTGCTTCCTACACCACTCGGACTGACACACCGTAGAAACAACATGTCAAAATCCCTCGTCTCTCTTTCGACCCTTCTGCGCGTTATCGGCGAATCCTTCCTAGCCGGCAACGACCAACTCCCCGACGACCAGGACCTGGCCGAAGCAGTCTCCGGCTACCAAGCCGTTTTCACAAAACTCAAAGCAGGCCTAGGCGAGGCCAAATCCGAGTGGGCCGATCCCAGGCTCCTCCAGGAAGGGGACTACGAAGCTGCTATTGAGGGCTTCACTCGGCTTGCGCAGCATATGACAGGCTTGAGAGATGGTGCCAAGATACGGAACGAGCTTCGTGCAAGGAAGATCGGGGAGGACGGGAAGCTGGAACATGTGGAGGATAATGCTGGGTTGGCGGTGTTTGATGCTGTTCAGCGGGAGTTGTCGTTGCCTATGAATGCGCTTATCGTATGTTTTGCTTCTTTTTGACTGACTGGCGGTTGGATACTCACTGGTGACAATAGGAAGCCTGCTGCGTCTCACTTCGCAGCACCAGCGAAGTCTTCGAACGAGACGCAGGCGGGGTCATATTAGACTTCACCCAGATGGCAGAAGACATCGAGGACGGGTTGGACACGTTCGTGAACCTGTCGAACCAGACTGTCCTGAATTTGTATCGGGGGACAGACTTGAGTGCTACGCAGGCGATTGAGAGTCGTGCAAGGAACGAGGCGGTTTTTAATGTTTACTTGTACGTGACCCGTCTCTATTGCCGTTGCGCACTCTGAATGGCATACGCAGCTTCATCTTTACTCTGCAGGAGTAAGCCTTTCTTCAACGTTCAGGTGCCTTTCTGACATATCGCCAGATTCGCAAAAGAGACCAACCTATTACTCGAAGCTATGAACAGGATCTGGAATACCGAACGGCGCCTGAATCAAGAGACTATCCTCGGCAGTCGTACGCTTGGCAGGATGGTGCATATTCTTGGCTCTTGTTCGTTTTTTTCGAGCGAAACGTCAAGCGAGGAGAAGATTGCAGTTTCGAAGAAGCTGCGTAAGAGGATGTGTACGTCCTCCCACGTAACCTTGTAGTGTAAAGACTGAATTTGGGGTAGCGATACTCTTGTCCAAGGATCTCCAGCCACAGAAGGACATGTTCCCCTCCCTGCATGCGCATACCACCAACACTGCGCAAACACCTGCTCGAGAGACACTTCCCTGGTACTGGAGGCTGAAGCAGACCTTATGGGCATGGGGCGATCGTATGAAGCAGCCAGACGTGAAATACGCACTCAAGACCGGTATGGCGGCTATGTTACTCGCTTCCCCTGCCTTTTTCGAATCGACCCGCCAGGGCTTCTTGGATTATAAGGGAGAGTGGGCGCTTATTTCGTTCTTTGTTGTTATGGGTCCGACGATCGGCGCGGTGAGTGCCAGAGACGTGAGATCGTGCAGGATGCTGATGCCTGGGTAGACGAATGCCCTCGGTCTCCAGCGAATCCTTGGAACACTGTGAGTGTTTGTCGATTGTGTGTGACTCCCCGCTGATGTTTATCCAGCTTGGGGGCGTTCGTCGCGGGTCTTACGTATGCCCTATTCCCCAACGAACCGATCCTTCTCGCCATCCTAGGCGCGCTGTATGCCGTCCCCTGTTTCTGGCTCGTCGTCAAGCGACCCAAGCACGCCACGTCAGCACGATTCATCCTCCTTACGTACAACCTCACCTGCCTATACGCTTACAATTCGCGAACCCGGGATATCGGAGTGGAAGATATCGCCATCAAGCGATCTCTTTCCGTTATCATGGGTGTCGTGTGGGCGTTTGTGGTCAGTCGGTGGTGGTGGCCGTTAGAGGCACGCCGGCAGTTGGGGATCTCTCTGAGCGAGTTCGTAGTCCCTGCTTTGTTCCCACCTCAAAATACTCACGAATTCCAGCTTCTGTCAAGAGATCGGTTGGTTGTACACGCGTCTTGTTCGCACCTACTCGATTCCGCCCCGTCTGCTGTTTCCGCAACAGAGTGTCACACAACCTACTTCAATTGATCAGGCACCGCTGATGAACGATGCGACATACGTACAGAGTATCGAGCCTGCGTTCAACAATCTGTACGTGTTAGTATAGTGCCTGTGGTCTGACGTGTTGATCCGCTTAGGGAATTGCACCTTCAAATGAAGTTGATCGAGCTTCAACAACTTCTATCGCATACCGCGAACGAGCCGCGTCTGAAAGGGCCATTTCCCGTCAAGCTGTACCGACAGATCCTGACCAGCCTGCAAATAATTCTCGACAAGTTGCACAGCATGCGATGCGTTACCATGCGCGAAGAGTGGTAAGGATCACCCTGCTGCAGGACAACGGTTTTACTCATCCTTTTTCCAGGTTTGCCGCCGTGCATCGGGACTTTATCATGCCAGTACAGAGGGAACGGCGGGAAATGGTGGGAAATGTCATTCTGTACTTTGCGACATTATCAGCGGCATTCCGTCTCAAGTCCCCACTTCCACCGTACATGCCGCCAGCGGAACAGTCTCGTCTGCGACTGATCGAGGCACTGCGTTCCATCGACACGAGAAGCAGCTCGAAAGATTCCCGTCATCTCCTCTACTACGCCTACGCGTCTTCCATGCGTGAGTGCGCTTTTCCTCCCGCGTGTGACAATCACTGACTCGCCCAAAAGAGGGAGTCATCCAAGAGCTAGAACGGCTCGGCAGGACTCTGCAAGACGCGTTCGGCGTCATTGGCGATAGCACGGCAGAATTCGAGGTCTTGTTCGACAATTCTCGCTTGGAATCCGCCGTTAATTCTCCGCCAACGTGACGGAACGGAACAGGATCGCTCGGGTCGGGTTTCTTATCAGTTCTTTCCATATGTACTCCTATACATCGCATTGTCAGGGTAATGATGCATTTTTCCGTTTGGGATATCCTATCAGATGCAGGTGCAGATGCTTATGCGGATATCAAATGCACAGATGCACGGATTCGACAAATTCAAAAAGGTTCCCTAAAGTTCTATGACCGCACGACATTCCCGGCCAAGGACAGCCAGGCAGCAAGTCATGGGCAGCAAGGCTCCGACCATCCTCGGACGCAGCGCGGCATTTGTACCTTTTCTCCTCCCTATTCGGGGGGAGGAAGGCACGCCTCTTTCTCCCGCACGGCAGGTGAGTTGCTGCTTGCTGTCGGCTGGCCGACAGGCAATACGCAGCGGGCAGGAGGCAACAGGGTGAGACAGATCTAGAGGAAAAGGAAGGGGAGGAAGAGGAAGACAGCTGCAGGCCTCCCGCGCGAGTACACGGCACGCGTGTCAGCAAGCATAGGCGTGCTCCTCTGCTGGGAACTAGCGAGAGCGGGGAAGAGCCTAATATATCCTACTTCTTACTTCCTTCTCCTACTTCTTGCACTTGCACCTGCACCTGCTCCTGCTGTGGTACCTGCCGTCAGCTGTGCCTGTGATCTTAAGAGTGTTGCAAGGTATAGTGCATGCACTTCAAGAGAGCTGAGCAGCGCTGGGGTGGGTGCTGCCCGCAACGCTCCGGGTATGCACGCTGTCGAATCCAGTCGGGGGAAGTGTCCTACCGAGTGCTACCGAGGGCTAGCGCTAGCGCTGCAACACCCTACGCAGGTGAGAAGCAGGGAATGCGCAGGGGAGGACACGAGGTCAGGCACGACGCAAGGCAGTAAACTGGGAACAGGAAGCTGCTGTTAGGCTGGGGGACGGACGATAGACGCTCGGGTTTGTCCTCTGAGTCGATCGTAGTCGAATCGAAATCGAAGTAGGGAGAGTGACGTCCTCTGTCGTCAGGTGCTGCGCTACGCTAAGACCTCGGGTTTGTGGGATCTAGTCATCTGTTAACGTGACTGTAACACAGGGATGGTAGGAAGCTGGAGCTGGGAACAGAAGCGTATGCATAGGGTAACTATAGATATGGGTATAAGCGCCCGGGATTGGGTTTCGTAAGCTAGCTATGCATGTGGACTGAATGGGACATTCAGTAGTTGGACTGTACTGTGTTGGTCGGTAGGAGCGCTACGTAGCGTAGTGCGTCGCTTCGGCGTGCCAGTGCGTAGTACTGTGCTTGTGCTTGTGCATTTGCATTCGCAATTGTGCTTAGCTGAAAGACTTGAAGCAGTGTAGAAGGAACAGCTCGCCCAGCTCGGGTGTGTATGGGACTCCGCCCTGCTGGTATGTCAGGCTATGCCGCCGTGCCTGGGAGTTGCCCAGACTGTGTGAAGGGGGAAGGGGGAGGTGACTGGGGCTGGACTAGAACTGGTGGAGTAGATGGGAGATGTACGACTCGACTGGACGCTGGTATAGAACATGCTAGATGATGTCGACTCTTGAGTGACCGAACCGAGTCATAAACGTTAACCAACTAGAATAGAATAGAAAAGAAATAGATCTAGAACAGCAACGGAAACGGAAGTAACGTGAGTCGACTAAAGGGCGGGCGTCTGCGGGCGGTTGATAGGAGGAGGGGGCTGTGGGTGAGCTGGTGATGGCATATGGGGAGGATGGGCGTCTTTTGGGGAGAGGGAGTGGGAGTGGGGGATATGCAAGTATATGCGTGAGATGAAAGCGGGGGTGAAAAGAGTGAAACGTGAGTTTAAAGGGAGAATCGGGGGAAGTGATTGGGGACTTGTGATTCTGTTACCGGGAGGGTTAGATGGGGATGTGTGACTGTGTAGGATGAAGTGAGGTGGGCGTCTGTGTGTGACTCTGTATGTGTGAATCAGAGTAAGAATCAGAAGGAATAACGGATTGAACGGAGATAGTGCCGATAAGCGAAAAGAGAGAGGGTTGACCACCCTTCCCTTTCAGCGCGTCATCATCCTTCAGGGCTCTGCGTGTATGCCAGCATATACACTCACTGGCCGCGTAACCCTTTCCCTTATAGTCCTCTCTTCACTTCACTCCCCCTCATCACTCCTCCTCACTCCCCCCTTCAACACCGCCGTCGTGCTCACCTCCCCCCCCATCCCCTGCCCAACATAACACTCCACGCCCGTCGTCGCAGGCTGCACTCCCACTCCGTGCAAGCCCCAGCAACAGCAGCAAACGCTCCTCCATTCTACATGGACATCACAGGATTCGCACGCTCACTCCTCCCCTGGGGTCCGCAGATAAACCAGCAGAATCAGTATGCTGGATTTGGGGCACTCTATGATCCTATAAAGCTTTTTGTCATTGGGGGAACCGTGGAGACGAGCAGGAGACTGGCTAGCTCAGCTTGGAGTCATTTTATTAACTGTATGTCATCTTACTCTTGCTACTCCTATCTCGCTCTAGACTGCTTTGGGGAACACGTTGCGCGCATGCGGGCGCACTTCTGATCCCTTCCCATCTCGGGCCATCCACTTGATCCCCAGAACCCCATATTCGTCACCCGCTTCCTACCCGCTTCTCCCCTACCCTGACTAACCCCCTTCGCAGCCTTCTTCCTCACAGCCCATTTCTCAGAAGAAGACTTTCCCTTCGACTGGCTCATGCACTGGCTAGCCAAACAGCCCTCCTGGCACCGTTCAAGAGAATTCGAAACTACCACTTGTTCCTCTTCTTCCCACGCGCTGTGGAAGACGGCGCAGTTTGATGCCGACGCCGAGCTCTGGGGGGAGAATGGGCAGGAGGACGACCCCACGGGGAAACCGAGTATGAAGGTCGTTTTTCGTCCAACCCTCGATACGACGCATACCATGTGAGTCGCGCGGGCTTGCTCTAGTGCCGAGGGCTCGCTAACGCTCGCCCAGCTTCTTCAAAGGTCACTGGCTACGTGTCCGCCGCTCCCGCACCAGCGGGATAGAGACACTCTCCATCTCCGTCATCGCCCGCAGCAACACGATCCTCAAAGCGCTCGTCCTGCAAGCCAAGCGAGAATACGAGCAAGACTCTGAGCACCGTATCCAGATCTACTTTGCCGATTCGCACGGCTCCTTCCGCTGGACAGACTCCCGCCACAAGCGTCCGATGAGCTCGATCGTCCTAGAGGAAGAAACAAAGGGCATGCTCCTGAACGACTGCAAGGACTTCCTCCGCCCCGAGAGCGAAAAGTGGTATGCGGACAGAGGGATCCCCTACCGCCGAGGGTACCTGCTCTGGGGCGTCCCAGGGAGCGGGAAAACGAGCAGTATCCACGCTATGGCGGGAGAACTCGACTTGGACATATACGTCATCACCCTCAGCTCGAGCTGGGTGAACGACGCCACTCTGGCAAGCCTGATGGCTCGTGTACCTGCACGGTGTATCCTCCTTCTAGAAGATCTGGACGCTGCGTTCACTCGGTCCACGACGCGTAGCAAGAAGGATACTGGTGTGCCCCGAGAGCAGCAGCAGCAACAACAACAGCAACAGCAGTCCTCCCTGCTCATGGACGCGAATAGCATGCCCTACTCCTCGACGCACATGCACCATCATACGCTCAACAGCCACAGCCAGAGTCTCACAGATACGAACACGCTCTCCCTCTCCGGCCTACTCAACTCGCTAGACGGCGTCGCAGCCTCCGAAGGCCGGCTACTCTTCGCCACGACAAATCATATCACCCGACTCGACCCTGCGCTCTCCAGACCGGGGAGGATGGACGTATGGATCGAGTTTCGCAACGCGACAAAATGGCAGATGGAGAGCCTTTTTATGAACTTTTTCCCTTCGGCGCCGAGGGAGGCTGTGGAGGTGTTGGAGAGGGAGGAAGAGGCGTTGGAGGCGGAGCGGGCGGACCGTTTGGCTGCCACTTCCACTTCGGCGTCCATGTCCGCGTCCGCGTCCGCATCGACGTCCACGTCCACGTCAACGCTCTCTGGCGCACGGGCACAAATCATGTCCGAGCCCGCACTGCGCGTACTTGCGAAAAAATTCGCAGATACGATCCCCGCTGACGAGTTCAGCGTCGCTGCTCTCCAGGGCTACCTCTTGAAGCACAAGACGAGCTGTGTGAAGGCTGTCGAAGAAGCAGGGGCGTGGGTTATCTCTGAGCGCGAACTTAGAGAGAGGCTCAAGCGGGAAAAAGAGGAGAAGGAGAGGGAGGAAGAGAGGTTGAGGTTGAAGGAAGAGGAAGAGGAGAGGAAGAGGGAGGAGAAGGAGGGGTGGAGGCGGAAGAGGGAGGAGAGGTTGAGGTTGGTCAAAGAGCAGGAGGAGATGAGGGCGGAAGAGGAGGAGGAGAGGTTGGAGAGGAAGGAGAGGGAGAGGAGGGAGAAGGAGGGGAAGGAGGGGAGGGAGAAGGAGGGGAAGGAGGGGAAGGACGCTAAGAAGGAAGGTGCTAAGAAGGACAAGGACAAGGAGGAGAAGGAGAAGGAGGCTGCCCCTGCCCCTCCTACCGCCGAGAAAGAGGAAGAAACGCTCGAAGCGAGCATGCTTAGGGACACCCCGGCTTCAGCGGCATCGACTGCCCCGACGACCTCCACCTCCTCGTCGACTTCGACTTCGTCGGTCAACACGGCCACCCCTGGAGGATGGGTACGCATCCCTGCTTCCCAAGTCCAGAATTTCGTAAAGGAGGAGATGGTCGCTGCTGTCCTTAGTCAGGCTAAGGAGGTATGATCCCATTTCCCATTTCCCTTCCCTTCTCCTTCCCCCTTCTTCTTCCCTTCCCCGGCCTGCCCCTTCCTTTTCCCCGGCCTGCGCTATGCGGACATTCACGTGCATTCATTCATCTGTTTCATATCCCCATCCCCTCAATTGTGTCCATATGACTCATCCTCTCATCCCCTCATCTATGCCCAACCCTACTACCTCACCCACCCCTCACCCCGCACGCTCATATCCTCATCCTCATTCCTATCCCCCCTACTACCCGTCATTACTTGATCACCTTGCTAGTCATCCGTTCTCATGTGTATCTTTGGTCTTTCATCTGTAATATTACAATGTCCACGCCGACCCGCGCCGCCCGCCGCCCGCCCTCGTCTAGTTATCCCATTCCTCCTATTCCGCCATGCCAGAATTTCCTGAGGTTCCTAGGTTGTCGACTTCCCTCAACAGCGCCCAGGCAACTTCCTCCCCCACCCTCGAGTCCCCCTCATAAGCCGGATGAGACCTAACAAACTCTCTTATCCACCTGGCGTTCGTCGGGCATTCTCCTGCCGCACGCCGGGCAACGAGCGCGAGGTAAGGCTCGAGCTGGTCTTACACTCTTTGGGGGCAGGAGACTGCCCTGAGGTACTTGTGCACGAGGGCGAGCAGACCGGGTGTGGTTTCCTGTTCGATGCAGGGTGAGCTGGGACAGTGAGGGAATGCGGGACAGACCTTGCCGTTGATGATCTCGTTCACTGTCATGAGCTCGCAAGTGTCTCCCTTACGCGTATCTTCTGCGCTCCTTGTAAGTCTGAGTCGTTAGCCAGAGCGACCACTGTCCACTCACCCCCCACTCCCGTGCACCACGAGAACCTCTCTTTCCTAAGTGCATCCCTCTTCGTCGCCCTCCCCATCCCTAAATCCACCTCCCCAACAGGGACGTACCACTCCAAATCAAACTCCCACACCGCGCGAGCGAGGAGAACCAAAAAGATGCACAAAGCTGCGTTTTCTCCGTCTGTGAGCTGGGCTTCTAATGCTCGGAATTCGAGCCGCCAGCCGGTGCTGCCGTCTGCTGAGGCGGGCTTGAGTCGGACAGTCTGCCAGTTGGTCGAGAGGATGTTCTGCAGTCGGGGAGGGTCAACTTGGTGGGAAGGTGTGGGGAGGGGAAGGCACCTCAAAGTACTCCAAATTCTCCCCTTCTTCCTCCTTTAATCCCTCCACCCGCTCTTCCATTAGCACCAGCGCATCCCTCACCATCAGATGCGCGACATGCTGCGCCATCAACTCGTCCACACCACCGGCCCTTAGCTTCTCATACGCTTCCTGATTCAAGGGCAGAGGCACGTCATTGTACTTCTCCACCTCTGACGCCCTAGACGGACCGGAGCCGAGGTAGGACGAAGCAGAGTCGTATCTGCTTTTGGGGAGCCGCTGGTACCCTTGCTCCAGGGGTGCCAGCCCCTCCTCCTCGGCAGTCCGGTCATCCACAATTTCCCGAAGAACGTCCCACCTTGCGTCCACATCTGCCAACCATCCTGCGAACGCTGGGCTCGCAGCGCTCAGTGCTAGCATGACTGGTGCAAGGGGAAGGAAGGCGTCATACAACTGCCTTGCGTGGGCGAGAGACGGCGCCTGGAGAGTAACCTGGAGGCAGCAGCATCCGGCACCAAAGACTAGAGCGTCCATGTAGATTGCTCCGGGTTCTACCTCAATGATCTAGCAGCTGTGGCACACGCAAGGGCAGACATACCCCTGCTAGCCGAGTGCTCGTCCAAGATCTCCGGAGTCTTCTCATCCTTGTAAACCGGGATGCTCGCATGAATCCTCCTCCCTTTGCGGCCCTCGATCCCCCTCTCGACCGCAGAATACCTTGGATGGTCACTAACGACCTCCGTAGGCAGAGTACTTCGTTCGTGTCCGCTCTTTGAGGTTGCTGACGCAGTGGAGAACTGCGGGTCCGACCATTCCCCCCCAGCCCCCAGCCTCGGGAAACTGGATAACGTGAGAAGCCTGCAGCCTTCCGGGAGATGAGAATTGATCATCTCCCTTCGTCGAGCGAGGGATCGTTCGACACATAGCAGAGAACTCAGATCCGGGGAATAAGGAACACCCGGGGAGGACTCGATCATATATGACGCATATTCGGGGTCGAACTCCGGCGGCGCCCTACCCGGCATGAGCAAAGCTCATTCACCAGATCTTCACAAGCGCACCAGACGGGGTCTTTTGAACCATCTCTTTCCCCGCCCTCAGCCACCTCTTGTAGCTTCCTGATGGTTTCCCCCTGTCCCAGTGCAAGAACAACCTTCTTGCGGGAATCATCAAATTTCAATACCATAGTCTCCATCTGTTCTCCCATGAGATAGGATTCCTACCAAAGACAAATAAAGAGCACCTCATCCCCCCACGTGCAGACATCGCCCTTCCTGTCTGCGTTGAGTTTCCAAGTACTGAGAAGCTCGGATATTCCTCTCGCTCGTATACGCGAGGAAAGGCGCAAGACGTGAGAAAATGGGAGTGGGGTGCCTGTAGTGAGCTGTCCCATGGTGGGAGAGAAGAGAAGGTGCGTTTACTCGCCATCTTTCGCTGGATATTCATGCAATATCTGCAATTGCTGTGGCGCCGAAACAGCAGAAGAACGCGCCAATGACGTAACGTGACCCAGGGATTGGCAACACCAGAGGGCGACGGCAGTGAAGGAGGCCGCCATCGAGCTGATCTGCCAGGTGGAGATGGCAATCGGCGAGCGGGCCATGGTGGATGGCCATCCAGTCATTGTGCTGCTGGAGACTGCCAACATGGCCATGGTAAGTTGTGGAGCTTCTTCCTGAGGACCTCTACAAGGATCGCACCACAATCATCAATCTGGGTATGGCGATGAAGTTCACAGGAGCAGTCGACTGGATCCCGATAGGTACACAGTTCATGTGGACGAACCCTGCGTCCACGAGATTCGTCCAGGCCTCCTCTTCCTCTTCTGTGATCAACGCAACGGCCCAGTTTTCCCATCCTGCCATCACGTTTGACACAGGCGACCCTAACCTCCTCGGGCTCCCCACACGACGACTGGCTCGTGCTCATGAACCTTCTCGGAGCGCAAGGACCGGACAGCGCAGGCAACTACCTCATACCTTGCGGTTCTCAGATGACATGGAACTTTGCTGGCACTGAAGGACGGAACTACACATTCAGCCTTATACAGGACGGGACGAACGATGGTACTGGCTTTTGTCAACCGGCGGCAAATGATGCAGGGGATACAACGAACTGGATCACCGGCGTGCCCTTTTTGGATCAGTACTACATCGCTTTCCACTACGAGGCAAACACCGTGGGCTTTGCAACCCGGAATTTGGGAGCGAGCGCTGCGAGTAGTGCGCCGTTTATTGGATGAACGCGGAGATGTCGAACTTAGTGGAGGGATTATCTTTCTCCTATTAATTTCGCATTTCTTCATACCCAAGCATGTATATGACGGACTGGAACTTCACGAAAATCGGTATACTAGTATTCATAAGCATAGAATAAATCAATATTCATAATCTCTTGTCATTTACCTGGAGATGACCGGCGGGCTTGACAACTAATCATGTGCCTCCGTGTGACGCCCCATGCACCCGTTGTATTCGACAACCCTTTCATCCTCACCTCATAGGCCGAAAATAACGCAGAGCTCTACTTTGGCGGCTTCTGCGATAACATCCATCTCGGCTTACAGCTTCCGATCTTGAATCACCTCCGCTCAAGCCCACGTGCACGTTCCCCGACAAACGCTGGCGATGCGAACGACTGCCTTCCTCCAATATTGTCTACGTTGGTCTTGACCTTCCGTTCCCTCTGCTCTTGTGGAAAGGATGTCGGAGAACAATATAACGACCTTCTGTCCGGGTCGGGCACAATGTCGCTGACTGAGACTGGCGTACATGCTCCTCCGTGTGTATAAGATGTTGTATTGGCTTCTTGAAATGCCTTTGGAAATTTATTTGCTTCATCATGATATGCGAACCTTGGCAGTGCATCTTTGTCTGTTCATGGCCATTGATATATTGCTTGTTCGTATTTGGATTTCTTCATCCTCAATCATACACAATTGTCATGACCAGCACGTGTTTGCTGGTCCCTTCGGCAATTGTTTGCTTCTGAACCCTTGGCCCATGTTTGTTTTGCAACCCTTGGCCCACATTTTGCTTCCCCGGTTCCATTTATTATCCTGTTTTGACTTCCTCAAACCATTGGTGTCTAGCTCTGTTTCATCCCTCTCAATATCAGCTAATTCATCAATATCAGCTGACATGTCTTCACCTGTCAACGCTAAGCTTAGTTTGATGTACGACCAGCTGGTGAAAGGCTCATTTGATGATGCTGTTTGGAGTGCATTGACATGGACAGAGGGTCTCAGAATGAAGGTGCTAGTATGTTGCAGTTGTGGCTGCTCATTGACATACTTCTAACATTTCTTAGATGACATTGAAGATTGTCCTTTCATCCAGTCTGCATCAGTGGATGGACATCTCTCCTTCTCCATGTCTGATCAAGTTCCTTGGTCATGAGTATTGTGAAATCCGTTATTCCGCTTGGTTGGACACTTTCTATGGAGAGCACAATGAAGGGGATCTCAAGGACTTCTTCAATCCTATATTTGGAAGCTGCATGTCATCCCACATTCAGAAAGAAGTGGTACATTTTTTTCCTCCCTGTGCAATGACAAATGCTTACTGGAAGTCTTGCTAGGGCAGGATTGCTAAGTCAGTTGTCTCCGGCGCACTCAATGTGCATGCTCCTTCCCATCTCACATGTTTTCATAGCTGATAAAGCTTTAGGTCATTGTTTCACGGCCCTTGAAGAAACGCCATTCAGTGTTGATGTCTGCTGGTCCTCCTGTGGATCTTTGTCTGGCTGATTGTGCCCCATCCAATAAGCAGGTTGCTGGCATCAGTCCCTTGGTTGACCTCATGGATGACAAAAACAACCTTGCTGTTGCTGTTGCTCCAGTGACCATCAGCAGGCTTGCTGTCTCAGCTCAGGCAATGACAGATGCCAAATTGGTATCCACCAAGGCCAAATATTCCAACCTTCCTCCGGTTTCTGAAGGCATGTTGGTGGATGCAATCAAGCTTGCCATTGATGTTGGTTGGGGTTTGATGAAAGAACACATCCTTCCCAACAACAGGATGATGCTGATCCCTGATTTTGTTCTCAATGCTGGAACCTGGAAGGTTCATGACTCCATCAAAATGGATGACAATTCTTCAGACTTCTATTATTGAGCTATGAAGGGTCTTACCATCACTGAATTAGAAGAGGTGGCTGCCTACAATGTCCTACCTTCTTCTGTTTTGCTTGATCATATTGTTGATGTATGTCTGTTTTGTCATTATCCTTTATTTCTAGTGTCTTACTCTGTGCAGGACATTGATGGATCATCTGATCCTGGTGACTGGCATTCTGGCCATGTATGTCCTTCCATCCCATGACAAATTATTGCTTTCTAATCTTTCTTCATTAGTGCGATGGCTGTCAAGAAGATTATGCCTTTGATGTTCTCCTCAACATACCCCACATTAAGCATATGATCTGTGGAGGAGTCTTCAAGATTACTTATGAGAATGATGAAAGCTGGTCCTGCATGAATTGCTTATACAAGCACCATCTTTGCAGCTTTGGCCCAGGTATGCTCTTCATCCTCTTAGCTGATATACCTTGTTCACTCCCTTCATAGAATTGGTTGCAGAAGTATTGTGTCTCAGCAATGAAGGCTGCATGCTTCTTAATCACCAGGAGTTTATGCATCAACATTACAATGAAAGTATCTGGATTATGCAAGATGGAGTGGAAGTTAGGAGGAAGCATGAAGCATTGTTGAAGAAGGTCATCCGTGATCTTAGACTGTCTCAATATGACAAGAAAAAAAACAAAATTCCTTCAACCATCGGTCCAGTCAATATCATCATGCTGTCAGATGATCTTTTGCAGCCCCATTCAGTCCCAGAGCCAACAAACTCCCCACCAGTCAATGCTCCTGTGGTTGTGAAGGTTGAGGATGATCTGTTGATTGATCTCAATAAGCCTGACAAATCCATTACTGTGCTGGAGATGGAGGGTGAGTTCATTTGGTTTAGTCCTTGATGTTGACTTACTCTGCATACAGGTTATGTTGCCCTGGATATTCAGGAGCAACATAGGTTGGCTCTTAACCATGGTGGTTGATCATCTCAAGGTTTATCCAGATCTCCTGCCTGAATCCTTTGTCACATTGCTGGAGGAGGCAGATGAGCTGCTGTTGGCCATGGTTAATTCTGCTGTTCCTACTGAGGCTTTTCCCTGTCTTTCTCTGTAGTTTCATCTGCTTCTCTCTTCATCATCTCACAACATTCAATGTCTACATGTCTACCACTATCTTTTCTTCAGCTGTGGTGTATCATTTCTAGTTAGTTAGCTGATTCTTACCATTTTCAAGAATGAAAATGAGTGTATGTCATTGCTTGACGTGTGTGTGCATGTTGCATGTCACATGGATTTGCTTATCCCTTGATACCAGAATATTCATGATGGATGCATTTCTCACTGGCACATCATGTCATGGACATCATTTCAATCCAAGCATTTTGGTTGTTTTGATGTCCTTCATCTCCTCTCCATATCTTTTCTCCTACATATAAAACCTTCTTGGTCACCACATCCTCTTCACAGTTTACATCAGACATGGAGCATTCTCTTCTCGCCAGTATTGTTGCTGGATCAAGAGATCCGCTGATGTTTGTTACACCATATGCCAAGTCAAAAGTCAGGTCCGACATCCCCAGTATTACCAGAGCATCATTATATACCATTGATCACCATATGTGTTGGATCACCAAGGAGATAGATGACAATACAGAGATTTGTCACCTGATGCAAAGGAGTTTGAAGGAACCTGTTGTATGCATGTTGCTGTTCTGCGTGTATGCTGTTGCTTATGCAACATATTACAGCTACATGTCTTTAGAGAACTTGGTATCATCCTGAATCTTCATAGCCAGCGAAATCTCATTTGTCATGCATATCTCATGGCTGTTTTTCAGCTCATGCTAACAGTTCAGCAGTCTCTCCCACTTTCCATTGGTCAATGGATAGGTTGTCTTGGGCGATTGTGCCCACGGTGGAATCATTGATCTCCATGACACACTATTTGATGGATGATCCTTTGCCAACTTATAATGGGGTATGCATGGTTAACCTCCCCCTCCATGCACATTGTTAATCCATGTTTGTAGATGTTTCCCTCTGATTACCTCGAGCAGTGAGCAACCCCACCTCCAGTAGGGTGTGTCAGGCCAATATTCCCATGGCTATTTTCAGGCCCTTAGAGACTGTTGCAGGGTACTGTGGACCCTCACTATGCAGACAATGCACCCCAGCAACAAGCCTCAGCCCACCACGGATATTTGGCATGGTGAGTACTATGATTCCCCAGGTGATGGGACCACTTGGATATTCAGCATGACAACAGCAGGTTTCCTCTGCAACAGGATCAACCCACCTGGATATTTGGCATGCCAACACTTGCCTTAGAGAGGTATCTGGAGACCAGCTTAGTATAGAGTACAGTTTATGGTAGCTAGTATAAGTAGTTTCCAGAAACTCCTGTATCTAGCTTATTCTGCCCCCTTTTCAATAGCAATTATATGGATCTGATTATCCCCTTACTGGATAGGCAGATTTGACTTGACTCAGCATACTTGACTTGACTTATTGCAACACTTGACTAGATGGACACTGAGCTCCGATTTGCCAACCAATTTCTGACAGCTCAGCTTCAGGCTGACTCCAGTGTTTCTACTGATTTTCCCCATCTCTCCCCTCTTTCCCTAGTGAGTTCTTGCACACCACCCATCGGACCAATATTCGGACACCTCTTGGGTTGGATCAGCAGTCAGACAAATGGTACCATTATGAAATTGCCACATTTAGGTCCTTTATTTGTCCATTTGCTCAAAGACAGCCAGTGTTTCATCCTTCCCCAACAAGTCATGTGAGCTCCATTCTATATGCGCCCTATCCAATGCCATCTGATGATGCACAGCAACAATCCTTCCATTGCAATTCCCATGGCAACCTGCTGAAACCTTACCTGCTTCATACTCATCCCTTCCTTGTTCTTCTTGCTGCTGCAAGTCAGTATTATCACAATCTCATGATTCTTACTCCTGGCCAGATGATTTGGCTCAATCTCATGTACAGCCTTATTGAGCTATGGAAGTTGAAGGTTGCGCCTATTGCCATCCCTCTGGGAGAAGATCCAGAAGAAGATGCAAGATCTATTCCCAATGATCAGAATGACAATGATCACTCTGCTGCAGACAGTAATGTCTTTTTGGTTCCTCCTGCTGCATCCAGTACATTGTCACCTTTTGTTCTGCACGGTCCTGGTGTGAACTACTTGCTATCCAGAGGTATTGGGGATTCAGTGGCTCATCAACACCCTTCACAACTGTGATGTTCATCATTCGCTTATGGGCTTCAATGATGGTTTGGATTTACATTCATCAATTTCAATCCTCAATGAAGGTGGAATGGATTCATCCTCAGTTGTTGTCAAAGATACTTCATCTCTTTCTGGTTCAGATATGGTACAGCAATATTATGAGGGCACACTATAATTGACAGAGGCTGCCCAGACGTGGTAGAGATCAAAGTCAAGTGGAGAGAGGAAGTTGTTGTTGAGGGGTGGGGATAAGGTGCTGATGAGGTGACAGAGGTATATTCTGCAGAGTACTATCCCTATTGAAGTACAGTGGAGATTCCTCAGAGACAGATCTGAGGATATCATCATCTAAACAGGTGGGTATTTATACTAAAGAGAAGGAGGAAAGCATCTAGTCATGGTGAGTTATGTTCAGTCATCTCTGACCAGTCATGGCAAGTCATAGGCCTTGTCACTACAAGTCACTGGCTGGTGGCTAGTCATTGGCTGTCATGCTGTGCAATGCCACATGGTCCTACCACAGCCAGTCCACAGGCCACACAGCACTGGCATAGCTGGTGTCAGGTTGACACAGCATGAGTAATCATGCCTGAGCAAGCTGTAGTCAAAGCAAATTAGATGTCCCCTGACATCACCCCCCTCTTAAGGTGCAATGTCCCAGCGCACATGGTGTTGGTGGCGATGCTGTCAGGCACAACAATCTGAGCTTGTGTCTTGGCCCATTGGGGATTGTCTTGCACCTTCTTCATTGTTGACCACCTTGCCCAAATATTTGTGGATTGTGCTTCTGAAATGGCCATGGTATCCTTGGTGTGTCTTGCTGATTCTAAGTCCAGGGGGGTCTAGCTGATTATTTGTGCAGCCCATTGAGGTTTCAGAGTCCCACAGGCCTCGCCTGGAGCCCTGCTGGTGGCAGTCAGCCAGTCAAGTTGAGCCAGGCCTTATTGCAGACCCCTGGATTTGCTGCTGGGCATTCCAATACCTTTGAGATGGCACTGTGGCAGTGGGCACCCATTGATGTGTCTTCTGCATCACACATGAGCATGATTGCATTCAACTTGATGGTGGTCAATACTGCCTTCTTCAAACCCTGGTGCTCAGTTGGCATCAGTGGCAGCCATGCACAATCAGTATCATGGTGATGGTGGAGGTAGTGCAGGAGGTGGAGGAGTCACAGGGTGAGAGAGTGGTGGTCAGGGTCAAGGAGTTGGACTTTGATTCATTTGCCAATAGTGTAGTGTTGTATATGCAGCATCATTGAGCAAATTGACCCTTTGTCCAATTGAATAAGACTTGTTTTGGGGGTTCTGTGAAGTTCTCCAGTGGTCGAAAGTGCATCCTTTGGAATGTGGTAGCCAATATCTGTCAAGGATGGGTGAAGACAATGGAAGTCTCACACCAAGCATGAGGCTCCTTTAACATTGTCTTTGGGCTCCCATGTTTGTAATTCAAGTAGTCCTTCCATTTAACAAAGTAGTAGAGCTTGCCATTCTCAAACTTGCTGTCATTGATGCATTCCACTTCATATTTGGGGACACCATCCTGTACAACCACAGGGGGTGGTTGAGTGTTGTGTGGTTGACCTGGGATATCACTTTCCTTGAATGGTTGAAGCTTGCTGATATGGAACACTGGGTGAATCCGAATAGTGGCAGGAAGCTTGAGTTGGTATGCATTCACATTGACCTTCTCAGTGACTTCAAAAGGTCCAAGCCATTTGTCATTGAGCTTCTTGGTTGGATGTGTGGTCTTGATGTTATGAGCATCTAGCCACACTTTTGATCCAATAGGCAAGTCCAGAGTTGTCATGTGGTGCTGGTCATGGAATCATGCCATATCATCTGCAGCTTGTTGAAGTGCTGCCTGACATTCCATCTGAAGCTGAGCCATGCAATCTGTGAATTCATTCACAGTCTCAACCTTGGAGTCTCGAATTGGTTCAGTTCCCATGCATGGGTTGCATCCATAGTTGGCCATGAAGGGAGAGACTTGAGTTGATGCCTGAACTCGATTGTTGTGGGCAAACTCAGCCAGAGGTAGCCAGTCAATCCACTCATCCTGTTGATAGTTAACAAAGAGTTGAAGGTACTGTTCAATTTCTTGGTTAACCTGCTCAGTCTGACCATCTGTCTGTGGGTGGTAAGAAGTCAATGCTGATATCTTGATTCCCAGGAGTCTGTTGAGTTCTCACATGAATGTCAACACAAACTGTGTGCCACAATCACTGATGATCTCTTCAGGGAGGCCATGGTGTCTCCATATGTTGTCTCTGAAGAGGCAAGCAACTCCAAGTGAGGTGACATTGTTCTGCATTGGGGCAAAGTGGGCTTGCTCGGTGAATCAATCAACAACCACCAGGATCGCATCATGTCCATTGGACTCAGGTAGTTGAGTGATCAGGTCAGTGGTGACCAGCTGCCATGGTTTTGTTGGGATTCAGTTTGGCATAAGTGTTTCAGTTGGTGCCTGAGGATATGTCTTTGTCCAGTTGCAGGGCAGGCAAGTGTTGACATAGCATCCAATAAATTGGCTCATGTTGGGCCACCAGTAGTTGTGAGAGACCAACTTGAGAGTTTTCCATCAACCAGGGTGTCCAGCAGCAGGTGTATCATTGTGCATCTGCACAATCTTGCTTCAGAGGAGTTTGTCTTTGGGCACATAGACCTTGCCACAAAATAGGATGAGTCCCTGTTCTTGTGTCCATTCTGAGCCATGGAGTTGGTTGTTTCCTGCAAGCTGAAGCTGTTCGACTGCCTTGACCACAGCTTTGTCAAGCTCCTTGCATTTTTGAATATCTTGCAGTATTGTCACTTCAGATGCCTGTATCAAGGCATGTTCTCGTTGCATTGCTGCCATCCTGAACCATTCAGGGTGAAGCAAAACTCAGTTGCTGTTGTCATTCTCCCCCCTTCCATGGTCCAATCATCTCAAGAGGGCATCTGGTTTGCCACTCTGCTTCCCAGGGTGATGGGTAAGCTTGAAATCAAATCTGGAGAGGAACAGAGACCATTGTGCTTGGCATCTTGTAAGCTTCTGGGCACTCATGAAGTACTGTAAGTTCTGATGATCTGTGAGGATCTCAAATGGTTGCCTTGCACCTTCAAGGAAGTGGCACCATTCTTCCAGAGCACAGATGATAGCCAGGAGTTCCTTGTCATGGATATCATAGTTTTTTTTCCAGTTTCGGAGAGGTTTTGAGACATAAAGGCAATTGGGTGCCATTTGCCATTTTCATCTTGTTGGGAGAGTTCCGCACCAGTGGCAAAGTCAGAGCTGTCTGCTTCCAGTCAAAATGGGTGATCATCACAAGGGAATGCCAGGATTGGGTGTGAGGTGATGGTGTCCTTGAGATGTTGGAATGACACCTCCTGTTCCGGTCCCCAAGAGAAAGGCATGTCCTTCTTTGTCAAGTCATGCAGTGGTTGGGCAGAGCTTGAGAAGTCCTTGATGAATCATTGATAGAGGTTGCAGAAGCCCACAAAGGATTGTACATCAGTGAGGTTGTGAGGAGTAGGCCATGTCAAAACTCCCTCAACCTTCACTGGATCCATCACAACATTGCCCCTTACCAATGATGAGTCCAAGGTATTCAATTGTTTGCTTGTGGAATTTGCACTTGTCAGGGCAAAGGTAGAGCTTGTGCTTCTCCAGGACTTCCAGGACTTCTTGAACAACACAATGATGTTCCTCCAGAGTGGTTGTGAAGATGAGGATGTCATCAAGATAAACAACCACTGATCTATCATCAATGAGATGCTGGAAAATGTTGTTCATCATTGTCTGGAATGTGCTGGGGCTGTTGGTGAGGCCAAAGAACATAACCAAGGGCTTGAAGAGGCCACAGTTTGTTCTGAAGGCAGCCTTCCATTCATCACCCTCCTTGATGCAAATATTGTTGTATCCCCATTGAATGTTGAGTTTTGTGAAGTACTGGGCATGTCAAAGTTTATTGACCAGGTTCAAAATGAGAGGAATTGGGTAGCAGTTCTTGATCATCATTTTGTTCAGCTTGTGGTAGTCTTGAACCAGTTGGAGTCTGCCATCCTTCTTTTTGACAAAGAAGACAGGTGCAGCCATAGGTGATTTTGAGGGTCAGATGCATCCAGTCATCAAGCTTTCCTTCAGGAATTCATCCAGTTCCTTCTGTTCATTGAGGGAGAGTGGATAAACTCTAGAACTCTTTGGTTCCAAGCCTGGCTTCAGTTTGATGGCATGGTCCCATGGTTGCTCTGGTAGGGCATCAAAGGAGTCCTTGGAGAACACAGAGTGATATTGGTGGTATGGTTGTGGTACCAGTTCTTTGAATGTCTTTGGTGTCTGATGCTTTGCATCCTGGCTAGCCAAGCGTGTTGATGCTGTCTCAGTGGCTGCCATGTATTCAGCTGGTGGGGCTGTGCATGCCGCCAGAATTCAGTCATCCTCTCTCATGAAGAGCTCTTGCCATTTTGGTTCATCCATGGGTTTGTCTTCATCCATCATAATGACTTCAGATGGAGGTAGTCTCTTCTTCTTTGGCAGTTTCTTTGTTTTCCTCCTGATTGGTTGAGGAGACTTTGTTGCACTTGCAGTGCAGTTCTTTGGGCATTGTGACATCTTGACTTCCCCACTGACCCAGTCGATTTTGGGGTTATGAAGTCTCAGCCATGGGTGTCCCACAATAGCAGCTTGCTGTCCCAGACTGGCAACCATGAATGTGGCGCATTCAGTGTGATCATTGTATTGCATGATCATTTCAAGTTGTTCTCAAATGGAACCACCTTCATTAGGCATCCCATCCACATTGTATACTGGCATGGCGCATGGCAGTAGTTGGGTTGTGAGCTTGTGTTGTCGAATAAACTCAGAGTCAGGTTCAAACATATCCATTCCAGCACCTATTCTACAGTTTGACAGAAGTTGAAATTGGTTGGACAACTGACACATGTCTTTGACAGTTGGCCTCCTCAAAAATCCTCCTTGGCCTTTGTGCCATTGTCTTGAGTTCTAGTTGAAGTAGGCAGAAGCTTCTTGAGTTCCTCTTGAATGATGCTTTGCACATCTTCAGCTTGAACAGCATGAATGTGGGCTTGGTGAGGGTTAGGGCAGTTGTGAGCCCTGTGACCCAAGTGGTTGCAGTTGTAGCATCACAAAGCTGGTCTTGATCTGTTGTTCATGTCAATATCCATTGCATTGCTTGGCTTTGTGGGCACAGTAGTTGCAGGAACTGTAGCCACACATGGCATCAAGGTGAAGGCTGGTCAAGAGAATGTGCAATTCTCTGGAGTATGCTTGAAAGGTGCACTTGCCTTGAGCTTCCTTTGCTGATGGTGAAAGTGAGAGGCATAGCAATACCATTCTTCCAAGTCTTCAGGCATTTTGGTGAGAGAGTAGATCTTGTCAACAAGATCACGGTTGAGGCCTTGCTCAAACTTCCTGATGTGTGCAACATCATTGTAGTTCATGTACTCAGCCAACTCCCTGAACATGGCAATGTACTCATTGGCTGTCTTGTTTCCTTGGGAGAGCTGCTCCAGTTTTGCATGAGCAGTACCACTTTGGTCTGGATCACTGAAGGCTCCTTCAAATTTGGCATGGAAGAGCTTCCAATCATTGAACAAGGGGTCCTCTGGCATTCTCTGCTAGTGTCAGGGCACCAGCTCATTGCTTGGTCAAGAGACATGACTAAGCCTTTATGACATGGAAGTAGCTGGTATACCTTGGCATGTGCTGGAACCTGCTCAAAGGATTGGATGGTCAGGTGACCTGCTGTGCATGGCTGTGCATGACCTCATATGACCTCATCCTTGGTCATATGACCTGATCACTTGACTAGGCTGAGTAAGCAAGATGTTCTAGCAGGTTCCACCACAGAGGTATAAATATAAGGCCTACTCTGCCTGGGGACTGTCTCTGCAGACTTGGTCTCTTAGGATCATTCACAGGTACCTATACTGTAGATAGGTCTTAGTCATCAGGTCTACTCCACTTCCTTGTTGCATGCTTAGACTCTTGGCACTCTTAGGTGAGCAGACTTGGTCAGCCTGTGTTGCCCTAACAGCTAGTCCCTTCCAGAAGATACTGTTGTTGGAGTTCTGAACTAGGCTATTCTACCTCATTCTGTGCATTGAAATGCATGGTCATCCATTTGTTAATGACATCATACTGCTCATTGTTTCTGCCCAATCATCTTTCACAAATCCTCCTTCACCTCCTGTCTGACTTCTTGCATCCCTCTTGTTGTCTAGAGCTGCTGGATAGTTCTCCCTTCTGAGTTGCTACCCCACTTCCTTCTTTTCATTCTTGTTGTAAGATGCATATCTTTTTGTCTCAGTCAGGATGGATCATTTTCCCATATTGTCTCCCTCCTGTACCAAGCCTACATATTGACAATGGAATGCTTCTTCATCTCCAGCATCTACCCAACCCTTTTGTTGTTACTGCAGTTTGCCCACTTTGTCCTTCATCTGGCAATTGAGTGCTTCTATGGGTGCATCTTCTGCTTGAAGGTATTTGCTCCTGTGGGTTGTGAATAGGGATGGGCTGAAGTCTTGAAGCAGTCTGATTGTGTCTCCCTTTGCTTTGGGATAATGCTACATATGCATTGAATGGGGTAATCCTGCCAGTAGGAGGTGCTGCAATGTCCACAATCACATAAAGTATTGTTTGACCTTGAGACTGGTAGTCAGTAAATGCATATGTTGGAGTCATAGGGATCTGGGTTCTTGTCACTGTCCTTTCCTTGCTGTTGGAAGCATGTATCTTGAACTTCTTCTCTGCAGGTGCTATTGGTATGACCCCTTCTCCTAGTCCTGGCAATGGCTTGGCCTTTGTCCTGTAAAGCTTTACCAATATATATTCAGGAGGTTGATGAAGGTACCATCTTGCCTGTTGATGATCCATGGGCAGTTCCTCGGAATCAAGACCAATGCCAACTATCTCGCCCCAAGCTCCATTTGCTACATCTAGGTTGGTATGTATGTTCAACATCACCATCACCTCATCCCTAGTGCCAAAGCTACCAAATGAGGCAATCCTCCATGATCTTTCTTTGTCTTGCCTCTTGAAGATGATCTGGTGAGAATTCTGTATCGCTCCATGGGACTCACAGCCTTGCCACCTATTGTGTTGAATGCTTGACATATCAATAATGTTTGCTTCATGCACCTACAATACCTCTCTATTGCAGCCTCATTCCATTGGTTCCTCACACAATGACACAATGTTATCAGCACTGCTTTGCTCCATGGTGGTTGTTCAAAATCTGTCGGTGGGCACCATGAGCTTCCCAGTACCAAATTGCCCAGCATGCATAAGTCATTGGTCATGCATTTTCCATATCTCGACTGGTGAAGAAATGCTAGCCATCTTTCATTTTGCACATGACACTGTAGTTGAAGCACAATGATCATTCTGAACTGCTTGTATATCTGCCTTCCAATTCATTCTTCTTCAGTGTCCTTGAATGGATGGCTTGTGCAGTACAAAGGCGATGTTGGTTTACCCATGACAGGTGGAAACTGATGAAAATCTCTGGCTATAATAATGTTCAATCCACCAAAGGGTAGATCTGCTGGGGTATTTTGATCAGAATGCATCTTTGCTGTCAAAATTGATCTGGATATCTTAGCCAGGAATTCCTTCAAACACATCAATATCTCATCTATAATCAGCTATGCTGGGTATTGCCATATCTCCATCAGCTTTGCCAATCTTCACCTGCCATTCTTGTCACTTTGTCCCCTCTTTTGCTGAACAGGTATCATTGCAATATGATGCAAAGTGAATCTGTCAATTAGTGATGCAGCAATTCCTGTATATGCTGCCTTCAGTATTAGATGTCACTTTCCTTCTCCTTGGAAGAGTTGGGTTATGCTCTGTATGACTCTCAACTTTCCAGTGCCACCTTTGCCATATAAAAGCATCAGAAACTGTGGTTGTTTCTTGCCAGCAAAGGTATTGAACACATGGGCCTTCACTATATCAAAGGCTTGATGCTGTGCCAGTTTCAACTCTTCATACATGGTGGGCAGCAGTTATACTGAGGTTGTCCAGGACAATATGGTGAAGGTCACCTTCCAATATGTTCTGCAAAGGTTTAACTGGTGGACAGGAAGGGGTGCTGAAGCCAACTGATGAGGGATCCAACACTGCCTGCAGCCTGCTGCCAACATCTTTCATCAATGCTTTTTTCCAGGTATTCAGATGCCCGGGGACAGCATGTGCTATCAATTCATGTCCTCTGGCTGCTGTGGTCCAATCATTGAATGGCTGGTCAAATAATCCAGCACGTATCCCAATGTTTACTGCAGCTTGACCATACAATGCATCTCTGGTGCTTATCTGGCTTTGTTGGATAATTGTCCAATCTAATTCCATTCATATTGCCAGGCTGTTGGATGTTGGGATGTCATCAACATCTTTGTCATCCTTGACATCTTCATCATCATCTTCACCAAACTGCACTGGGCCAATCTGGGTTGTTACAAGTCCTTCATCAGTTCTTCATTGTGCCTGCTGACAACATTCATAGAAGTATTGGATATTGTGTATCATGTCTGTTGCCACTTTTGGGGCCATATGGATGAATGAATCAAAAGCATCCTTCCAATTAAAATGAGGTGATTTCAGTCCTGCCACAGTTCTCCAAGGTTTTAGCAATGCAAGCATAGAGGCATAGCAGAAGTCACTGTTCTTGTTGCTATCGGCTCAAGGAGGCCATCTTCCTACAAAGCTTGGAAGTGTTGTATGTCCCAGTGGATGATGCACACATTTTTTGGAGTTGCTGAATTTGTACATTGGCAGATATTTGCTGCAGCAGCTGCACGGGTGGCCCATGTTGGTGTCCCCACCTTCCTTCTTGTCTTCTTCATATGTCTCCACAGTGAAGTTCATTATGCACCATCTGTCTAAATCATTTCCACGATGGAGGTATTGCTGCAACTGTGTGCTTTCCATCTGCAATCATCTGTCTTCTGTGGCTGCTAATGTAATGACCTCATCATTTGCATGAGCAAACATTGATTCCATACATTCTCACCTTGTCTTGCACAGCTGATTGCCTTGTTTTGCCATCCAGTTTGTTGACATCCTGCTCCATCATTGTTTCAGAAGACCTGTACAAATATGATATTCAGTCAATATACAACTACTTCTCACAACAAGTGTTACCTCTCTTGACCCTGCAGTGCAGGGCATTGTCAGTACAGCTCTGCTACAATGCAGCTGCAATGAAGAGCAACATAGTGATGGGATTGGTATACATCTCCCCATCCCATCAAATACATGACACATTGGGAAGCTGCCTTTTCTTGTTCTGTTTGTGGTTTAACACATTGAAGCATCAATACAACAGTGCCTTGTTTCAATCTCAAATGCTCTGCACTTGTTCTGTGTCTTCAAAATGGTATTGAAGCTTGCTGGGAAGCAGCCCCATAAGGTTGTAACTTTTTCCTTGTTTCTTTGCTGTGTAATTTGCAATGTAAAAGGTGACATCTTTTGTATCTTCTCCATTCATGATGATCTTGACATTGTGATTGCATCTCATCATCCTTGATACTGAAGGATTCCAGGCATTCAGTGAAGTATTGTGTTGAGTAACTCCCCATTCTCCATTCTCTTGAACATAGTCCACTGGGCTGACTTGAAATGGTGTGTGTCTCTTGCATTTCATCCTTCCACTCTTCGTCTGGATCAAACAAGTATCCATGCTGCACCTATGCAGCTGTAATGTTCTTGCTACAGTCACTTCCATCGCCCTTGCTTGTTGAGGATACATCAGACCACTGGGATTGGGTGGCTGGGAATATGTGCATTTGGAATTAGAAGGTATACTGTCTATTGAGTCTGGGCAAAGCTCAGGATAATCTGCCCTTATCATTGCTCCAATATATTGTGCAAACTTCTCCTGGAATGCCGCTTCTTTCAGCAATTTCTTCATCTCTGCTGCAGATGGTGCATCACATAACCATATGAGGAAGTGACTATGCAATGTCGACTTTCCTTGTGTTTCCACCAGGGCAAAGAATGCTTTGATCTTTCCAAATGCACCATGTTGGCTATCCACTTGATGACCAGCCAGGTGTGCTAACTGTCTACCCCCTACACTAGCAGAGTTGGAGCAGTAGCCCCCTTTGAATTGGATCAAAGATGTGCCGGACAAAAGCCAGCATTGTATACTGAAAAAATTTGGCTGCAGCATACAGATCTTTTGCCACATTCAATGCTTGCTGTTGTTGGTTAGGTCCAGTTGCACAAAAGAATCAATCCATGTCTATATCTTCACTGGCAAACACTTTAATACCAGATCATGTAGATCATTGGGAGTGATAGTGAACCATATATTTGGTGGGCCCCATATATGGTTGCAAAGCAAAATTCTTGCTGCATCGGATCCCATGACCTGCATCTAACCACCCACAACTGCTTCTGCAATATGTGCAATGCCGGATTGGTGTAAGGAACTTGTTGTTCTTCTTCTTCTGCAGCTCTTTGTATGTCATCCAAAGTGATGCTAGATAATGCTACTTCAGCCCTTGTGAAGTCATGTCAGCCCATCTGTATCTTCACAGACATTAAAGCTTCTCTTTTCTGGATGATACTGAACCCAACAAATATCTATGAAGAATAATGGTGGAATCTCTGATTGTGATATCACAAAGTCCATCAGATGTGCTCTTTCAGGGACACTGGCTCTTCTCACTTGTCTTCCAGCCCCCCTTTGCTGTAAGGAAACAATGACATGAATGCTGCAGCAAGTGGATTCATCTGCTCATGTACTCTTCCTTCTGGCGTCCTGGCAAAATCATTCACCGGCATTTGGCTATGATGTACGGCATACCCACCTTCTTGTTGGGGATTGTCCAATCTTGCCAATGCATGAAGGAATATATCTGATGCCATTGCAGTGGTGAAATCTGTATCTTCAACCCTGACGGATCTCAGTGGCACAATGTTGTCCTAGGTGGCATCTGATGTTCCATTAGATTAAAGCATCTTTCTCAATGAAGGCTCAAGTTACCCACCTCCAACTTTTTCAATGTGTTCTGGATTGTATGCATCATCTTCTAGATCAACACTGATGGTCCTTTCCTTTAACCAAAACATTGCCAGTATCTCTTCCAGCACCTCATCTTCTGGCAATGCTCTCATTCATCCATACACTGCCCTGTCATCCATGTTGATGTCACAATAGTACTGATTGTTGCATCTCAGCCATTGCAATGCTTCCCATACAGCTCCTCACCTGACACTGAAAGTCCACTTCAACCAGTTTTTCTTCACCTTGTCCATGCTCATCAGCCTGATGAAAGAAATGGCAATCACCAAAGACAATACAGCCAAGGGACAAGGGAACAGGCAGCCTTCAAGCATTTCAGCTATGTCTCCCTGACCAATGCTAAAGAGCACAACATTCCCTCACATGCTGTAACATATGCTGTCCGGATCTTGATGTGTAAGACTCTGTTTCATTTTTGGATACATCTTGAACTGAAAAACTTGAGGATAGTGATGTGCAATCAACATCTGCTCAGACATTGTCAATATTTGGATGCAGTCAGGCATCATTCCAATCCACATCTGATTTGCCAATGACCATGCTGGTAGCCTATCTTCCTTCAACTCTGCAAGACATTTGACACATATCCAGACCTGCTCTGTGTTCATCACTACATCCAACATCAATCTTCTGCCTCTCAAGTTTGGTGCATGAGCATTATGCCTCTCCTTTGGTATCAACCAATCACCATTTGGTATGTCATTATACAGCATGTTGCTCATTTCTTGCTTCAAGAATTCTCCAGAGCAACTGCAGCAGATGGCATGTGCCAATGCATCATTTCTGGTGGCTAGAAGAAACCTGTTTTCACCCTGCTTGGTTGTGTCTTCTTCTGGCAAGTTGAGGAACTCATCCAGGTTGCACTGACTATCTTCCTTCCAACTGGTTTCACAACCAATATCATCCAGAATATACCTTTCCTTGCGTGTGGTCTCATCTTCTCATTCACAATGATGCTTTGCATGATGCTCTGATGCTTGCTTGGTGTCACGGGCTCTCTTGCAGTTTTTATGCAGCATGACTTTCAACTCTTTTGCTGCCATTGCATCCGATAATGCTTGTTTCTCCTGCTTGGATAAAGTATCAACAAATTTCAATAACTCTATCTTTGATATTTGAACACATGTGGGAATCTGGACTGTTGGCAAGGCATATACTATCTCTGCTTTCAAAAATGTGTTGAAGGTGGCCATCTAACATTGAGAGTTGCTGCGTCTACTGGGTCAATATATAAAGTCTGTATTTGGCACCTGCCTTGTCAAACGCACTTCACAAGTATGTCATCCATGTCCACATGCTTCTTGATGCACTTTTTGTTCACATCTTTATTTCTGTGTTAAGTATCTGAGATGTTCTAATTACACTCGTGTCATATTTGTTTCATTCTCTCCAAATTGCTACATATCAAATCCGCCATATGTGCACTTGGATACATTCTTCTCATATGTTGCACATCCAAAGCTGAATAGTTCACTGCACAGCCCATGATCAAATCTGCCAATGCATATGCCTAGAATTCTTGATCCATGATCCAGTTTGTTGCACATCCAAAGCCAAATAGTTTGCTGCACAGCCCATCATTGAATCTGCTGATGCATATGCCTAGAATTCTTGATCCATGATCCAGTAAGTTGCAATTTCAGGATGATTGATCAATGGAATTAAAGGGTATTTTGTAGTCCTGTTACATTGCTAAAGTCCATGGCTATCAAAATTTTCTATTTATGCAAAGCATTATTTAGGCAGCTACCAAATTCTGCCTCTTCAACACCCCAGTCATCTTTCAAACTCACCAAGCAACAAGATAGACCATAATGCCTTCTCACCAAAGATGATCTCCTCCATCAGAGATGCTGGACTTCAATACAGCCAACATGATGCCTCCTCCACCCCTGCCACATGTGGATCCACCTGCCACCCTCTTCGTACCAATCTGGCTTTGGACGGCCTCTTGTCAAAGCCTGAGGTCAAAGCGAGCTCTGTCATCATAATGGGCAATGCTCTTGCACCTAGTGACACCATTGCATCTTTGGCATTCATGACTCAGCAATCCTCAACCTCTATGATCTCTGATTTTGAAGACTCTGCTTTGGTGTCTCTTTGGACAGAACTGCTTGTCCCCTCTTTGCAATATAATATCACCGACAAGTCCAGATCTCCATCTTCTACCATGCTGATGGAGCACATTGACACCAATGCTCATCCAAACCATACTGCTGCCACTTTGATGACAGCAATTGTTCCTGATTTGCTCCTACCAGCTTCTATCATCAACTTTCCTTCAATGCCTTCAAAGACCTGGCTGGGAAAGATTGACAATATCATTGCCTGGACCAAAGAAGCCAGTTACAACCTTGCCAATCCTTCTGACATGTTGTCATTGACATGGGGTACACTCAAGAAAAAAGAAGATGTTGTTCTCCATGATGGAGAAAGCATGGCCTATTTGACTTTGGTTGCCTGCATGTCTGATGGAAACTTCAACCTCACTCCTCATGGTGGGTGGCAAAAACACAGCAAGTTTCCTTGTGATCTGTCCAAGCAGAAGGCTATGGCCATCCTGGCAAAGGCTTGGTGTGCTCCTTTTGATGCATTCTTTGAATGTGCTATTAGGAATCTACAGCACTTGCAGCAGAAGTGCACTGTTCCCAGAACTGACATCCCCTCTGTCATCAAGGATGGAGGTATCAAAATCAGTTGGCCTTTATTCAAGGTATAGTTCATCTACATCCCTGATCTCTTACTATCACTGATTGTTGTCACCTGCTAGAAACAGCCCACCCTGGCTGAGGATGTCTGGGAGGATTCTAATTCAGATGGTGTCAGTATGTCCTCCGGTGTATCCCATGTGATGTAGCTGACAACCAGTGTTGTGGAGACCTTGCAGATGATGCATGGAACGACTGGACAGTTCCTTACAACATCATGCATGAACTCGCCCTCTTGAAGTTGATGCACATGCCACTCTGTCTTCCTGCATATGGGCTGCATGGCAATCTGATATCTCCTTCTTCATGGAAAGAGTGCCATGGTAAAGGTTAAGCTGATCTTCAGACACTACCACATCGACAAAGACAACAAATTGATATTCATCTTGACACCCTATGACATTGTTATGGTAACTTGGCCCAAGATCATGATGACCTCCCTGACAAAGAAAAGGAAATCGGAAGATGGCCCATCCGGAAGCACTTGATGCCTTCGCAATACTGTGGCTTAACTGATACACTGTCAGATACATCTGCAAATTTGCGCATTATTAAATTCTCTTACAACTAAGCTTCTTCTTTGTTGATTCTGGTGCTCTTCCCCTGTCTAACCTTGTTGCCCTTTCTACAAAGCCCCAAAATTGCCTAATACTCATGTCCACACACCTTCACATGATTGTGTTGCCTATCATTAACACTTGCCTGTTGCGCGCACCTAGTTAGTTTATGCAAACCTACTGTTCTTTCCACAGTAATCACTGCAACATTGACATGCCTTCAACCTTTGCCAATGATGAACAAAAATTGAACTGGATGTCTGCTGTATTTTTGAAGCTGTATTCTTGAAATGATTGTCTATGGGTAAGTGGAGACAACATACTCAGCACATCTGGTAATTGTGACTTGCCCCTTTTATTTCCTCCCCAATGAGGCTGGTGTAATACCAAACTCCAAGCTTCCATGCAGGCCAATAAACCAATGCTGGCTGATCTCATAGAGTGCCGCCCTCTTCCAATAATCAGACAATCGCGTACAAGCAACACAACATACATTTTTCATGACAACCTTGTAAGACATTTATTGTATATATCAACCAGAAAAAACAACAACACTGCTATTACTGTTCTCATCCTTGTACTGCCATCATGAAAAATATATGGAGCTTTACGCCTGTGCACCCTTCAAATCATTGATGAGATCTTTGTGCATCTGTGTGAGGTAATTCGTCCACCTATTGACTTTCTCCACTGCAGAAGGAGAAACCTTTGCAGCAAGTTCATTGACCTCTGTCTTCAGGTGCAATATAGCACTGTCAAGGGACATTGCATGACCATTTGCTGAATGTCAGCATAGCTCATGCAATGGGCCAACAGGAATGCTTACCAATGATTTTATACATCTGGGTAACTGACAAACCAGCATCCAGTTCCTTCTCCTTCCATTCTGGAGTCTGAATCTCATGGTCCTTCCCCTTCCATTCTGCCTTTGGGATCACCTCTATCCCCAAGTTTTGTGATGCACCAATGGTCTTTGTCCAATGGTGCTCTTGGTCATCCATGTCGAAAGGGCAGTCCTTTCTCTTCCAGCTGGATTCTTCAATCTTAATGGGAGTCTTCTTGTCATTGTCATTGTTGACATCATCAATGTCATTGTTGTTGGCATTGTCCTCAAAGACAATGCTGTCATTGATGTATTTCTTCAGAAATGCATTGTAGTCTACAAGCAATGGTTAAGAAACTGTTTGTATCATCACTGGAGAAACACTCACCTGACTGGAAATCACACTTCAAATGAGAATCACGACAGTTGTGGCAAGCAAAGCCAATCTTTTGGGTGCTGCAGTTTGGCCCTGTGCATGCCATGCATTTGGAAGGATCCACACCCATTTGGACATCCTCCCAATAATGATTGACACAATGGTTGCACTGCATCTGCATCAGTTATGAAGAAATCAACTAGCAATCATGCTTACCCATCCAAGATACTTGATGTGTCCAGCACTAATCTCATTAGGATCATTATCAAACTATGCAAAACCACACTCAGTCATTGCCATTCTTACTTGATGATGAGACTTACCCTATTGACAACTTCCACTCTATCAGCAGAGGGCAATATATCCCGGGTGGCTATGATCTCAGACTCCATAAGCCCTAAAGCATGACCCACACAAAAGTAATGCCCCTGCTTGTCTTCACTGGGGCTGGTGAAATGGAGAACTGTATCCACAAGGTTTGTTATTGGCAACTTCCACTTCTTTGCTCCTCAAGGGCCCTTTATAAAAGCTGGCCATGATGCACTGATATAGGTGAAAATCTTTCTTTTGCCATCCTTGTCATCCATCAAGATGATACTCTTTAGAAACCCTGATTCATCTTCTGCCTTTGCCTTCTTGTCTTGAGAGTGAGTACACATAGTGTTTGCCAATGAAGCTCCAATAATATTGATGCAATCAGGCAGCTGCTTTGGCATTCTGGAAGATGACAATTGTCTGATACAATCCTGTCTCATCTCTTTAGCAAATAGGAAGGATGACTGCTGATAAACTCACTACTTTCTCTGTCATGTAGTGAGGCATACTGGAACCTGCTTTGACCAGCTGCACAAAACTCAGCATAATGTCCTACTGCAGAGATGGTGAAACACACCTGTCCTTTTGGGTTACACTTTGCCATATACTCGGCAAGCCTCTTAGAACACCATCCTGGGCCCATTAACTCCTTCATTTGGTCATTCAAATGATTATAATAGTGTGGATGCTCTCGGACCACAGCATTGATTGTTTGCTAAGTGATCATCAGCATTGAATAACCTGCATGAATAGGTCATGCAGTTCTCACCATTGTGTCGAAGGACTCTACTCCATTCTTTGCCTTTCTCCACTTAATAGGATTCAATGAGCAGGTGAGAAGTGTCTCAAAGCAAGCCTTCAAGTTTTTGTTGGCATTGTTGAAGATGATATGTGGGTCCTCCTTCAGCATGATGGAAACAGGTCATTGTTTTCGAGACAGATGAAGAAGAGTAAGTGACTGTGGTGGTGGAGGGGGGGACTTTTGATGCGCATGAAAATATTGCCAAGTCCCCAGGTATATTGAGAGCGTCGAAATACAATGCTTCCGGCTGCCTCCGCTAATTCTGCACGTGACTCTGCGAGCTAGGTAATATAACGTACAGGGGCGTCCAGGACATTCCAATGGTGGGGTTATCAACGTTCCGATGGAGGCGTGGCTCAAATCTGCATTGACGGCAATAACCGTCATAATTACTCCTACAACAACGCGTCAACCAAAGGCTCGGAAAATCCTCGATTGCTCGCGGACATCAGTGGACTCTCCAATGCTGTTCATAAGGTCGTATTAACAAATGTTGAAGATACATCGGTCAACGGCTATGGTCAGATGACAGTCGATCGATTCATCGTGGATGTCAGTAATCACTCCGCTGGCCGCCCGACCGCGCCAATCTTCCCTGCCAATACCGTCCTCTCTACTGTTCCTCTTCAGCTCTCATACATAGCCCCTATTACTTTGGGGGGAAACGAGCCTGCCCTTGAAGTCCTCCTCGATGCCGGTGCACCCGATGTCTGGGTTGACTCTGTGTTCTGCACAGGGACGAATTGTAATGGCCACAACAAATACCACCCTGGGCCCAAGTTTGTCAACCTCAGCATCAAAGACACCGAGATTTACGGAGGCGGAGGCCCGGACGAAACTTTTATCACCTGGCGGGTGAATGACAGTGTTACTTTTGGAGATATCACCATTCCCACTACAACCCTTGGCGCTGCTGTTCGGATCGGTCCCGATCAATCGTACGATGGTAATTTCGGTATTGCCAAGGCATACTATGCACAATGCAGCTATTCAAACATCTACCCGAACTTCGTCGAGAACATGTACCTTCAAGGCATTATCAAGAACCCGGTCATCGCATTCTATCAACTGGATGGGTCGGAGAGCGTCCCATCGGGCGTGGTATCACAGGCTTCGATTGGCGGCTTGGACGCGAACAAGTTCACAGGGCAGGTTGACTGGATCCCCATGGGTCCGCAGTTCATGTGGACAAACCCTACGTCGACTCGGTGGGTGCAGGCTTCGCCCTCTGCCACCGTGCAGGATGCCACTGAGGAATTCAATCACCCTGCGATCACATTTGATACAGGTGATCCGGGCTTGCTCGGGCTTCCACACGACGACTGGGTCACCCTCATGTCTCTTCTTGGTGCCGAAGGACCAGATTCTAACGGGAACTATCTCATTCCATGGGAGTCGACCATGACCTGGAACTTTTACGGCTCTCAAATGCGAAATTACACATTCAACCTCGCGGACACGACAACTGATAACGGAAGCGGGTTTTGCAATCCCTCTGCCAATGATGCTGGTGACACCACGAACTGGATAACTGGTGCCCCATTCCTCCATCAATACTACATTGCTTTCCACTACGCGGCGAACCTGATGGGGTTCGCAACGCGGAATCTGGGTGCCAGTGCTGCGCATAGCTCGCCATACTTCAGCTAAGAAGTGCAGTTAGCCGATGTTTGCCGAATTGTTTAATCAGCCAGCATACAGTCAGTTATACCACTGTTCGAGTTATTGCTCCCAC